CCTCAATGCAACATCAAATTCGTAATTCATTGTTGGTTGAAATGCATCCGATGTTAGGGCCTAGAATGCTAAATCTTCGGTGTTATTTGAATTGTCGATTGTTGAAGAGAAAGGTTGTCAGCTGCATGCCATCCCGTAATGTCTAGACATGCGACGTTGAAAATCATGCAAACTTTCCTATTGTGCCTTGGGGTCCGAAATCTGACCTCACGGGGGCCATGTTCTCTTCCAAATTGCAACGCAGTATGCGCTGTATTTGTGATTCTGTGCCGCAATACAACACAGTATTTGAGTGAATCGCGGCGTTGGGGATTGGACCTGGAAGCTTAGATCCACAGATTCAGCGGGAGGGCGGGAGAGCATGGATCTGGTACAGTGCTCCCGTACGGTACGGAGCTCAAAGCTGAGAATGTCGGCCAGGGTGTTCCTGGCCTTGTGAGATTTGCTAGGGAGTCGACCACAAAGGTTTGTCTGCCGCTTTGAATAATGCCGCGATCTTTCTTAGTTCGCGCGTCTTCTTCTCCATGTTTACGGACGTAATATTTTCGCCAAAGGCAAACAATGAGCCCAGAGACAGACTAGAGGCCGTAGGTTCCGACTAGGATCTGTGTCGATGTGCCGCGCGTGGCTGGGGTCCAGAAGCGACGCGATGTTGCGCCGTTCGCGAGCTGTTAGCGGAAGAGCGGGAAGACTGGGATGCCCAGGCGTGGTTTCTGTTCTCCGCAAAATCTAGCGGCCGCATTCCCTGCAATCCGATATCTCGACCCTCAAGGTTCAAAGATGCTGTTCACATCACATCACATTAATCTAGCCACAACAGGACAGTGATTGGGGATGATGGGCACACCTCAACGCCTCAAAGTCTGTCCGCCAATCAACGGCGCGGGGTTTTGCTCGCTGCCATTGACGACTCCAGAAGATGAAAGCCGACATAGGTAGTGGAGGGAAACGATATGTGTGATCTGGAGAAAAGGAGATTGCACCGTGACAGGGGCGTCCTTCTGTCGCCTCTTTCTGGCTGAAAGCAGGTACGAACGAGGCTGTTGACCTTGCAACCGAAGTCGACGATCGCCTCAACTCAATCGAATGGTTCAATGCCACCATATCCGCAGTGTAGTATCCGTCATGTACAAGGGGAAATGAGGGCCCGAGGGTGAGGCACAAAAACAGTGTCTTGGCCACGCCGATCGTTGAATCATGCCATATTTGGCTGCGAGAGAATGAATTTTTATGTCGAATAGTGTTGTTATATGTGCCGCACGAGCTGACAATGCAAATGGAAGGGTCGGATGTAGATGAGGTTGTGATAGCGAGCACCGATATCAATCAGTTGGGCACTGACAGTCTGACAGAACGGCAACCCGACCAGCGAGACACATGTGGCGTCTGACCGGATAAACTTGCGTCTTCCGCGGGACGGACGCTGACGAACGGCGGGCTCTACTGCGGCGAAGGCGGGACGTAGTGTATCCGTACTGCGGGACGGGCAGATAATTGTTGCGCACTCCGCGAGCCATGGGCCCCCTGAGACTCGAGAGACGCGATGGGCGACGATCGTGGACATTTTGCGATGATTGTGATTGTCAGCGGGCAGAAAGGCAGGCATCATGTTGCGAAGGAAAAGAAAAAAGACCCTGGGCTGTTGGCTGATGACCGCGTGCGCAGAAACCTAGTCAAGGTAGGTACGGCACGGATGCTGTACAGGCCGGGTGCTGCCTCGAGGCGGCGAGCTGTTGGTTCGAGCCGCCGATGCAAGACCGTTCGTTACTGACGGGTAGGTTTGCAGTGTACTCCGTAGACCCCGGATTAATGGCAAACCAACGCTCCGTCGAGTGTATTGGCGTGAATTAAAGTTGACGGAGTTCGGATGTAATGGCGGTAGGTAGTGTCGATGGAGCTAATTAGGTCCTTTGGGCGATGGTGCCAGTTGGGTGGGAAGCTGTCGCCATAATTAGCCCGCATGATCTAAAAGTTGGCAGACTATCGATATGGGGTGATATCGTGACCTGGCGGGTTAAACTCCCGGATAAGAGGGATAATCCTCTCAGAATGGGGGTAAAATAAAAATAGAAGCAGACGACGGTTGTTAGTTGGCGTGACTGAATTCTGCGGGTGACAGTAAACAGCTGCAGCGGCTAGACGATGTGACGAGCTGGATGACGCATGGAGAGGTGTGCTCAAATTAGCCCACATGTCAGAGTTGCAAAAGGGCAAATAGTGTGACGCAAAGAGGGTCAATTCGATCACGCATCATGAGCTGGGCGGCTAATTAGGCCGCCAGAAATAGGACCAGATGGGATCATGGATGAGGTTTGTTCCGAGGGTGACGGATGGCCAGATGGCCAGATGAACGGTACCTATCCGTACTGCTTAAGCAAGCAATGGAAGGTACAGGGAAGTGAAGATGATCCGAGTATTCCGTCTCGGAAGGTGGTGAGGGCGGTACTCCGATGCCGTACCTTAGGGCAACGTAGCCAAGTACATAGGTAGTCCGTACCTTAGGTAGCTCACCAGGCAAGAGCGTCCTGTTGACGGGAGATCACCATCATCGGCGGACCTTGCCCGACGTGCCTCCTCCAGACAGCAAACTTGCCGTGCGGCGGGCGGCGTGCCTGCCAGATGCATACGGCAAGGAAGGTACCTTAGGTTGTCGTTCGGCAGCACTTGCACGGCACGGAAGGAAGCGGAGAGCAGGAATAGGAGGGGAAAGAGATGAAGATACGTCACCGTGATTGGCCGAAATTCGTGAGGAAAGCACAAAAGCCAGATTTTGGCTGGCAGATGGTGGACAAGCATCTGAGGAACGTGCCATGCGTGCCTTCCGCTGCAGCGCCTTTGCTTCCCTGCGAGGGCAAGAGCAAGAGACAAGAGGGGCAGGAAACATGGAGCTAAGGTGCCTTAGCATGCGAACCCCGCGAGAAGGTGCCCTGTCACTTGCCGCGCTCCTGCCGCGTATTGGCCAAAGCTCTGCCCCCACCCGGAAGACTAGCTGGGGGGTCCCTGACCAATATTCCTGCACGATCTTCTCGCTTGCAGCAAACAATAGCCAATCCGGGGCCGTAGCGGTCCTTTCGTAAGAGCTTAAATCCCTGCGACATCACAAGCGCTAATGAACGGTTGGTCCCGAAGCCCTGCACGAGACGACAAGTCGTCACACCTCGCCGTCGAATCAACGTCTGCGCCAGCCCTCTTGACAAAGGAACCTCGACTGCACCGACAATGACGCTAACGACGTACTCCGTACCTCTGTCAGGCTGTCCAAGCAAAGAGGTGGCAGGTGCTGGAGACTGGAGAGGGAAAAAGAAACGCAAAGCAAATACCTCAACGGAGTAGTACCTACCTACCATCGGGAGGACGAGTAGCCAGCCGCAACCTTGTCCCTGTGCCTTTCTGCAGCCGTTATTCGCAACGACTTCGGAGTACAGCAGGCAAGAAGTAAAGAAATCCTTACGGCTTTGGCGGAGCGGAGCACCTTGCACGACATCTCCCGCGGTGCCATGATACCCCCTTGCTTGCTGCACCTGCCACCACTTTCGGCTGTAGTTGGGTATCGATGGCCAAGTACCGGCCTCGACATCTTCCACTCTCCATCAAAACCCACTCGCTCATCTTTGGAGATGGATACTCGCCTCACTCGCCTATCCTCCCCACGATCCGAGGTATTTTCACTCTCTTGATTATCTACGGATAATCCAATTACACCAAGCACAAACCCACCTGCTGACAGGCTACAGGATACAGCAAAGCACCCCTGAACTTCTCGCCATGCACGACAGAAAGTCCTAGTTCCACCGTATCAACTCCGGCAGCCACATTCGACCGACATTGAGTGGCCGTATGGACCATCCAATCCGGGAGCTGACCGCCTTTCTCGGCCTTCTCATTTGTGGATGCTCTTTAGAAGGCCCTGTCTTGTTCGGTCGAGTCCAAGTCTCAAAGAAGAACACGAGGCAAGATGAGATCCAACATCGCTCTCGCCAGAGTCGGCAACCCGTTGCCAAAGTAGCAAACACTACGGGACCTAATTCGACGGGGCTTGAACTTTCACCCAGCATGGGTCTTTGGAGAACCAACAGCAATGAAGATCATTCCCAGAAAACGATCAGGCTGATTGCCATATTTGATGCCATTCAACGGGGGCTCCAGCGGTTGACTAGTCATGTTCCGCTCATGGTTATCCATCATGCAACCATGAAGCGAGGCTCCTCACATGGGATGATCGGATGAATCCACCGCGTTTGTCAGACACAGGGCTAACCTCACCAAAAAAGGCTGACAGGGCCCCATACCCATGCAAACCCGTAGGTTCTTGCCCGGCTTTCGCTTCTGGCTCTACGAATACCTACGGTAGTATTTCGATGATGGGTCCCACAAGCTCAGCGAACTGTGTTGGTGGTTGGCCAGCTTCATGCAAGTACGTGCGATCCTAGGACAGAGCTTGTTAGTGGGAGAAATGATCCACGACCAAATGTCATTTGCAAGGGGGAGCCTGGCTAACTGTAGCTCTGCTCATTGCTTGGTCATCCGTCGGCCCCCGAAATCCTCTCCTCAAATCGTGCCATCGACGGCCTGCTTGGCGGCCGAGGGGGACCATCTATCGATAGTACTTGATGTCGGAGCCGGTGCAACGTATACAAGATAGATCAAGACCATACAGATAATCCATACGGATACTATTATGTGTTTCTGCAGCTCCGGCTGCGCAACGGACTCCCGCGGGGTGAACTCGCATCCGGGCGAACTGCTACTCGCAGCATCAAGTTTCCCCTTCCAGTCGATATTGAAGATCAGCATCTGCACCGGTCAGGGCCCGGGACGACAGAGTGGACGCGGTATCGACGGCGGACAGCCGGAGAGGCATATGGCCGGATGGAGCACAACTCGATAGCAGGTTGGCAAGTCGGGTTGGGCAAACAGGAGGCGGGCCCCATGTGGTTCTGCATGTCTCTGCGTAGCGTGGTGACCAGGTGGTCGAAGGTGTGCTTGGCACCTTGGTCCCCATGGCCTGCCATCCGGAGCCAGCCATGGCAAGCCACGATATGCATGCGTTGCCCGTTCACTCGCTCGACAGCTGCTCGCACCCATGTCGTCCATCTCGAAGCTGCCCCCCCTCTCGACGCGGAAGTGTCCATTCCTATTCTATTCTCAGGTGGGGTCCAACAGTGAGTGCGACCGCCTTTGGCGGCCCATTCTCATTGGAGCCTGTAAGCGCAGGTCAAAGTCTCACGCACTCGATGTGAAGGCGGCCAGCCGGCCTGCCTTGTGCCCTAGCCTACGTTAGTCTGGAATGCAGAGCAGACACACACACACTCACGGCTCGGGGGGGCGATGGAGACACACATACATAGGTGTATCCAAATTTAGAACAATATTGATGTTGGCTACGTAGTGAACACCAGGCAGACCACTCAAAGGCCCGTTGGTTGGCGCAACAAGAGGACGGTCATGATGAAGGCGGCCACAATATAAGACTTTGGACCATCCATCACGAACAGTTGGATTCTGGCCTCCTCTCGTTGTTGATCTGTAGAAGTCAAGCAGAAGAAGAAGAAGGAAAAGTGATCCAAGTGTTTGTTCAAGGTTTTTTCTCTCTCATTCATACAATTGTTTTTTGATACCCTCCGTCCACAATCTTCGGAAAACCCCAACCACTCGAATACCACCCGATAATCCAGTTCAAGGCAAGCCGGACTTGCTAAACGACCAGTCACTCATTCGACACCACCGAAACCAAAAAACCCACAGTCGATCACTCTCGACATATTTGCAATTTTACAATTTGCAGCGCGCCCATTGCTTACAGTTCACGAAACGAGATCAAATTTGCTGTTGCATTTTGAACGACAAGGAAGAAAGAAATAATTCAATAATCTGATACGATTTGGAACCTCGGGTTTCTGGAAACTCGACAAACCATTCGACAAACAACCCGGTCTCCCATCTCAAATTGCGTTGACAGCGGGCGAGCGAACAGACGATTCCTGACCATCGAATCCCCCTCGTCGAGTTCTCCCCCCTCTCCAACATCGATCCCAGGTTGTCCCCGCCTTTTTTTCACCCTTGGCTACCAGGAAAGAAAGAGAAGCGAGAGAGCACAGAGGAACGAAGACTGCTTCACCCAGCACACAAACACACACAGCACACACAAATCAGAAGAAAAGAGGAGAAGGCCACAACGCGCGCACTCGCACTCTCACACCCCCCAGGACCCCTGGTCGTTCTTTCCCCGGTCCAGAGCACAGTGTTGGTCGCTTCCGTCTCTACACAGTGTAACGGTTCCTGCCACGCCCCTCCACTTGTCGACCCTGGTCCCTGATCACCCCCGGTCCACCACACATTCACACACCCTTCACCACACCCCTCCCTCCCTCCTCTCTCTCTCCTCCGCCCCAGCCAGCCAGCTCTAGCTCTGTCTTCGCTGCTCGGCTTGTCATTCACACGCAGGTACCTCCATCGCGAACAGAAGAAGGGTACAAATGGCATCTCTACCCCCCAACCACATTCGAGAGGACTTCATGAGATCAACAGCTGCAGTCAACATGGCCGTCGCATCTTCTGCGAAGGCCAAGTCGGCCTGCAAAGCCAACACCACCAACAGCAACAATGCCAGCTCCAAGGCAAAGTCACAAATGCACCGCCGTTCAAGGACAGGTACGTTCATCCCAAGAATCCCCTTCTTTTCCCCAAATCCCATTCCATTTGGCATGGTATTAGCCATGCTTGACTTACACCCACATCCAAATCCCACTTACACAGGAGCGACTCTCCCTTACTTACCTCAAATTGTGTCCTCCACGATGGTCAAACCTCATCTAGGCACTTGAGACTAATTGAATTTTCTACAGGATGCTACACCTGCAGACTGCGCCGCAAGAAGTGCGACGAGGGCTCGCCAATGTGCTCCGCTTGCAAACATCTTGGTTTGACATGCGAATACAAGCGCCCAATGTGGTGGAGCAACAACGATGCCCGCCGCAAGCACAAGGACGACATCAAGATGATTATCAAGCGCAAGAAGCTCTCAGAGAAGGCGTCGCACACGATCCAGACTTCCGTCGGCTCTCCTCCCGGCCTGTCGCACTCTTTGCCCACCTCTGCCACCTTTTCCGACCCTCTGGACCGCACTCGCTCCGCCTCCATTGACTCGCACTTCTCCCAGGCTTTCAACTTCAACAGCCCGCCAACTGTCGGTGCCGATTATGCTGCCTACAACCCCCAGATGCACCCCGACTTCATGTTCAGTGGCTTCCCCTCGCCTTACGAGATTGATGTCAAGACTGAGCGCCAGGTCTACATGAACGATGTGCCCACTCTAAGGGAGTCGACCATTTCCACTTTCAGCACCTACCACACTCCCCCACCCCCGGGAACCATCCTGCCTTCCTCCGTGCCCCTCGACGGCGAGTGGACCGAGCAGATCTACTCTGAGCGCAAGGAGTCCCTTAGCGAGGAGGCCCTCAACGTCAACTTCTTCGACTTCTCTCATGGCCCGGCCATGTCCAACCGCCAGGTCGCAGTTGAGCTTGACGAGAACGATCAGCGCCTGCTGGACCACTTTATCCAATTCGTCCTGCCCACCATCTTTCCCATTCTCGACTCCAACCAACATGGCTCAGTCGGTTCCGATCTGATCTTGCCGGCTCTGCAGAGCAACAAGGGTTACCTGCACTGCTGTCTTAGCATCGCCGCCCAGCACTACAAGGCGACCATGAACGTTCCCGGAGAGGAGATTGATCAGGACATCATGCGCCATCGGTACGCCACCATCTCGTCTCTTTGCGACGCTTTGAACAAGGACGAGAACCATCAGGAGATTCTCGAGGCTGCTTTGGGTCTCATCTTCTTCCAGTGTGTCGTCGGTCGCTTCGACGACGCACTGCCCGACATCCCCTGGCACCAGCACTTCCAAGCTGCCATCAGCTTGGTCCAGAAGCTTGACCTACCCCGCCTGGTTTCGGATCCCCATGAGCAGATAACCCAAACTCCCTTCAACATGACTTTGACCTCTTGGATTGACATTCTTGGCGCCACCATGCAGGGACAAGCTCCTACCTTTGCCCACACCTACCGCGAGAAGCACCTGTCAAACAACCCTAGCCTGGGTCTTCGCGAGCTCATGGGATGCGATGACCGTGTCATGTACCTCATTTCTGAGATCGCCTGCCTCGAGGCTCTCAAGGGAAGCGGCATGGACGACATTACTCTTTGCCAGCACGTCCACGCTCTTGGCGACCAGATCAACCTCACCGAGATTGGCGAGCCTGGTCCCAAGATGCCTTACAATAACAACGGAAGCCTTTCCCCTAAGCAGCTTTCCAAGAACATGACAGCCGCGTTCCGCCTTGCCGCTCGCATCTATCTTTGCAGCTTGGTACCCGGCTTCAATCCCGCGCAGGCTTCCTGTGTCGGCTTGGTTGAGAAGCTTGCCAACGTTCTCCAGCTTATCCCCTCGGGACCTGGAGGCTTTGACCGCAGTCTCGTCTGGGTCTACCTCGTGGGCGGCTCTGTCAGCTTGCCTGGCAGCTCTTTCCGCGCTCTCTTTGAGGACCGCGTTGCCCAGCTTGGCGATGTCTCTGACTGCGGCTCCTTCGGCCGCGTCGCCTCGCTCCTCAATGAAGTCTGGATGCAGACAGGCAACATCAAGAGCAGTGACAGCTGCGCCGGCAGCCCTGGTTCCACGCAAGGAGCTGAGGCGGTAGCATACATCCACTGGAGGGATGTCATGCAGATGAAGGGCTGGGACTTCTTGCTCATCTAGCATCCTGGCTGGTTCTGGGTTGTATAAATGTGTGCAGAAGGCTCGCCTTCCATCTGCATGGTATGTATACCGCCTCCGCAAAGGTGATTCAGGCAATCGCTTATTCCCTTTCGCGCAACCAGGGCTGCTTGGCAGCCTGTCTTGCACTGCTGGACACTTTAGAATCTTCTCTTCTGATCTTCCCCATTTTGATACCACATTTTTCTACATTTACACCAACCTAATCAAAGGTTGCTTTGGGTTTACTAGAAGGACACGCCGCAAGGCACACGGAGCGGACATGAACGATGAGAGCGAAGACACTTGGATCACACTTTTTTACCTTTTCTTCTGACTGGACACTTTCACGGGTGAGGGTGCACGGGGCAGCTGGGCCTGGCTGCCAGGATGATGGATGATGACGAGGGATGATGGGAAAGGGACTGCCTGGGTGAGGCCCTGGAACATGCAATGGAAACATGAGATGCGACGAACGACTATTCTTCATTTACTCAGACGGAACACACTTTCGTCTGATATCTTGGTTTTTCTTTCTTCTCTTGGGTATACCATAGCATGAGCACGGGAAACGGGCTTCATCGGAGTTTATGTTTGGGACTTTGGGACTAGCAGTTCGGTGCATCTGGACTGGATCGGATGGATCAAAGAGAAGGGCTCTGGGAGCTGCGATGGGCTAGCTTCCCAGTTGACTTCTTCACATGGTACTCATTCGGTAGCCTTTCGGCTCTCTACGGAGCAGTTGGCAGAATCGAGCAGGATTATATGAATCATGTAATACCAAAACATTATACCCAACAATTTCAAAAGCACTACTTTCGAATCATGCCTTCCCCCCCCCCCCCCCTTTACTGGGCTTTGAAAGATGTGAAGAATTCCCTCACCAGTGGTGCCCACCGGCCGAGTCCGAGATTTGTCTGGGCCGGTCTATGCCAGGGTGGGGGGTCGAATCTTGGAAGAGTACACAGTAAGTTAAGGTAGGAAAGTTCTCCGGCTTACTGCGTACTTGCACGGGTGTGGCGAACACCACCACCTTCCCCCCTTGGAAGCACTTGGGCCGAAGCTTACGCGCAAATGGGACGATGGAGGGGAGGGTGCGTGAGACGGGAGTGACGGACGAGAGGAATCGATTACTGGACGAATTGAACATGAGAGACAAGGAGAAAGAGAACAGCGATGGGGCGTTTTTCCTTTGGCAACTCGGGAGTAGAGGAGGGGAAAGGTGGGAGGTGAAGATGCAAGCTGCCGATCGAGGGTGGTACAAAGGGTCACTGTAACGTGTGTTTGCTCAAGGTGAGGTACCCAAGGCACCTTACAGTACAGTGTCTTCTTCGGAAGCCAATTGAAGCATGTCGCGGGAGGATGCGGATTGTTTGGATGCGATGGACATGGCGTGGGTAGGTAATTGGCTCTGTGGGTGGTCATGAGGTAGCGCAGGTCCAAAGAATATTCCCAATGAAATGGACGGAGAGCTTGTTCTTCCCATAGTAGGCTATATTACTGTTCACACGCACTATAGTACACCTTACCTCGCTTGAGTGTACCGACGCGGTAGCGCCATCTCTTTTTCGGTCCTTTCTCTTCTTCGTCAATGGAGGTTGTTCTTGCGATGCCGGAGGGGGTCCGGTGGTTATGAGATGGGGGAAGGGGGTAGAGGTATGGTGGGAGGTTTGGAGGGGTAAAGAGGTCGCGCGGGCTGGTGGTACCCTGGGTTTGTGTATCCATGTCCCTTTGAAGTCTGTTGTGGAGGTGAAGAGATGGTTTGCCGGTAAGGTAGCGGTGAAGGTCGGCTTGGCTCGGTGAGCTTTGGCCCGGTGTGCGGCGGGGTGTTTTACCAGGTACCTTAGCTGGGGAGTGCCCTGCGAGGTGTGCGGTTCAAGGTGAGCTCACCTGACGTCCATCCTCGGTCTGTGTGGCTTGTCTTTGGCCGGGATCACGAATTGGGTAATCCCGTTTTTTTCCCTCCCCGACACCGAGGTACCTACTCAGGTTCGGGGTGATCACGAAAGAGGAGGGAGGGAGGGGTGAGGTAAGAGAAAGATCCGAGATGGTTGAGTGTGCAATGTTTCATGGATTGGAGGTCCGACGTCAGTGGTGAACAGGGTCGTTTGTTCAGAGTGCTGACGATATGATGAGTATTGAAAGAAGGGTTGATTGGAGACTATGGGGCCTGGGGTATTGGGAATGTGGACACCGAGTTTTTTGCTGGTTCTGCAAGAAACCCATCGTTGTGGGATAGGATAGAGTCAAGTCATCTGGAGGTCCATGGCATCATTCCTTTGTGTGTATTCATGTTCGCTACCTTACTGTGCAATGGGGGTGGGTGTGCGTCTGTAAAACAATACAGCTGGGGTGTTTTGAGGACCACAGTATCGAGTTAACTGTGGTCTCGAGATCCTATTTCTACGGGCTTTGATATCGAGTCTCAATTGTTCAGATTACACACCCCTCTGTCATCCATCTAAGGTGTTGACGACAGGGAGAGGGTGAGTTTTTGGGTTTGTGCGGGGACTTACACCTAAGCAAGGAAAGGAAAAAAGAGACAGGGAAGAGAGATAGGTCTCAGATGACGGAAAGCGAGATTCACCCAAGCTTAAGCGCCAACCACTTGCATAGCCCGAACCCGTACCCGTTCCCCACGATTTCGGGGGACCGTTCACCGCCGTTGTTGAGTCACTGAACACGCTCGAGATACGGTGTACGCACACGTATTTCCGTATATGTGTTGTGAATCACTGTGAATTGGCGAAAATGGAGTGGTCCCCTTGGGGGTTGGTTAATTCTCGGCGCCGATATCGTATTTGGGGGAGGGGAGGGGAGGGGTGCACAAGATTGGTACCAGTATCAATTAGCGTAGTACGAAAACAGGGAAATTCAATCAAGTATCCACGTGACGATGGTGTCTGTGGTTTGCGATTTGCCCTTTCTCCCTTGCATGGGGCTTAAAACCTTGAAGCTTGGAAAAGTCGTTCCCTCATTCCTCTCTATTTCTCTGTCTTTTCATTTGCCGGGGGCCCTGCAGCGGATGAGACCACGGGATCGGACGTGCGTGGAATTCTTCGAGAGAGGTTCTGAGCGAATCCTGTATCGTCACGTGGATGGGGGGGGGGGGGGGGGGGGGGGGGCTCCGGCAAAAGGGGGGGGTGGGGGAGGGGGGGAAAAAAGGGAAACAAGGGAAAGGCTTTTTTTTGCTGGTGGTGGGGGGGGGGGGGGGGGGGGGGGGCGGGGGCGGGGGGGGGGGGGGGGGGGGGGGGGGGGGGGGGTGATGCATCCGTACAAGTGCGAGGTTGGCGAATGGGCAGAAACATGGCAATCATGGCAAGGCATTTTTGCTGCTCGTAGATCATTTGATTGGGAGTGGATGAGAGGGCATCGGGTCGAGATGGGGACCGCCGTTGCGGTGGATCTTCATGGGCTTTTTTGGCGAACCCTGGGATTTGTGGCCGACACGACTTACATGCTCACCGACGGCGAAGGTTGACGGGGGTTCTGACGATGGTATCACGTATGGAAGTTGAGAAGATCAAAGTGTTCCAAGATACACCCCTCCCCCCTTGGTGAGCTGAAGCGAGAAGGACAACGACGATGGTGATGCTGCCTGGTGCTGTACGGACAGTGTAGGCCAAGGCCGATTTTGGCCCGTGGACGTGGTGATGGTCCCCGGTTTCCTCCATTGCGAGATGGGAGGCACGGCTCTTGACTGGAGGTTCGTCGTCTGCCGGCTGCCGATCGGTCAAAAGGTGAGGCTTTCGCGAGGCGGTCCTGTGACCCATCTTCTGAGGGAACGTGAGGGAGCCGATGCATGGCCAGCAGAGCGGCGGGCGTATAAGCCTATGAGGTAGAACCAAGGTACGGGAATAGCGGCTTCGGTGGCTTCAGTGGCTGCAGTGGCTGGAACGGATGGCGTACGTCACGTGTGGCTTGGACGGCCCCAGTGGCGGGCCATTAAAGGTTGTCGTTGTGATTTGGAGGCTAAATTTACTCGGTCAATGTCCATACCCTTAGGTACCATGTCTTGAACCCTTGTTTTCCTTTAGTGAGGTCAAGGGTTGAGTCTCAATCCCTACGCACCACGAGCCTTCCTTCGTGTTGGTTACCCTGGTTGCTTAGTACCTAAGATACTGAACAGTGTCATGGATGGGATAAAGCGGTTAAAGGCGGACGCCCCAAAAGAGTACGAAAGTACCTGGATCTTTGCTGAAAAGAGAATGGGGCCTTGAAAGGGAACGACGGACGCTAACAGAGCAATGGAGCGGCCCAGCGGTCCCGTTTGTCTCCACTTTTCAGCGTCCGCCACCCCGGACGCCTTTGACGCAGGGGCCATCCCTAGAGTCGGGGCCGCAATCGCTAGGAACGAATCATAGGCGCGCGTTTCGGCTGCGCGGCTACATTCTGGCACTTTGGATGACTCCTTTAGGAAATTCTATTCTTTGACTGGGCGACTCGCCAACCGCTCACAACCTCTCATTCTCCTTCAACCCTTCAACCCCTTCCTTCACCATGGCCCTTCAACCACCAAGGGGAATAGAAAGTCCCCACTACCAAGGAGACATACTCCAACGACAGCCTCTCGTTGTCGCCGGCCCAGCGACTACCCAGACCAGCACTGCCTCACGGCGAGACTCTCTGCCGCCCAACGTTGCCATCTATCTGCTGTCGTCGCTACCCATTTGCTGATTATTGATATCCGCCAATGGTTTTCAAGCCTTTTTGGGGGCAGGGGGCCCTGAGGTCTGAATTTTGGCCGCTTATGCCCTATCATACTCTCTCATGATGGGAAAAGCTCGGGGGCTATTGTCTTCCGCGTCGACATGGTGACACTGGAGACGTCCAGAGTTCGCAACACCATCGCTCCACCAATTTTTCACGCCCGCTGCGATCCAGTCGCGCTTGCAGAGCCCAAGGTAATCTCTGCGAAGCAGGAGTCCCCCTTCGTAGACCCTCGTGAGTCGCCGCGATGCCACTCGGGGGCTGCTTGGTTGGCCACCGACCAGCCGGCCTTCTTAGGCGAGGTCGATCGGGTGGCATTGTTTCTTTAGGCACAGGCGAAAGCTCGTTCGTTTCGGAGCCGCGCAGCAAGTTCGTTAGTCGAACCTGAAAGAGTCTTTTCCTTTTTCCTTCTTTTCTTACACTCTTGCTGCGGGAGTCCTCCGCCGAGTGGCAGTCGTAGGGGTCCGAAGAACTGGCCCCCATGCCGCCCTGCCGCGATATCGAGCCGGACCAAAAAAGATTGGGCTTGGATGATTTTTGGCTCAGTATCGGGTGGGAGCGATATCGTCATCTCATTCTTTGGGTCATCGCCCGATTCTTCTCTTTGCTCACCTTTCCATTCTCGTCATTGTTGCATCTTTCTTCCTGAAGTCATCTTTTGCTCGATCAAACTGCTTCTTGGGTTCCTTTTGTGAGGCCTCTTGCCACCTGATGAACAACATAGTAGCCACTCCTTGTCTTACACCCTTTCATCTGTGAATAGCGACAATCCCATTGTACCTGCTTGTCTCTTTCAACTCGAAACTTCTTCAACCCACGACTTACTTCTACGCCTTTGTGTCCCGTTTCTCCTCCCCGCAAGGGTCTCGGGGCCTCGTTACTCTCCTTCCGTGGTCATAGACCATTGACACAAGCCGCCACCTGACTCCCGACTTACACAACTGTTGATACGCGCCTCTGACTCTGCGGTAAAAGCTCAGACTTCACCGCCGGCCCTGCAACACCATCAAGCAACGTCCCGGCTGAAAGAGGCCCAACTATTACACCATCATAAACACAATACATTACCCCCAAACTCGGAACATGTCGAGATTACGAAAATGCACACGAGTCGCGGTGCTCTCCATCCTCATCGCCTCTGCTCATGCCGCCTCCATCCCCTCCGTCTCTGGGCGACAAGACAACACTTGCGCCGCCTCGGGCTTCACCTCCTGCGGCAACGGCCTCCCAGGAAACTTTTGCTGTGGAACGGGCAAGAAATGCATCACTCTAGCCGGGAACACCACCGTCCTCTGCTGTCCCGAAGGGGAGAGCTGCGACAGAATCTCGCCCATCACATGTAACATCAACCTCCAAGATCCCGTGGCACACCCCGATGCCTCCATCAAGACCACCGTCCTCAACGGCACACTCGCAACCTGCGGCGACAGCTGCTGTCCCTTTGGATACAGCTGCAATGGCCTGTCGCAGTGCACGAAAGACTCGGACCAGACCAAGGCGCCGGAGGAAGCCTCCACCCCGGTTCCAAAGCCGACGTCTACCGCCACCGCCGTCCCAAGCGTGATCCCGACGACCATCGCCGCCAGCACGACGCCCGCGGGTGACAACAATAACAACAATAACAACGACAACGGCGACAGCGACAATAAGAACGGCACCTTCCCCACCGCCATCGTCATCGGCTCTCTCTGTGGCCTCCTCGTAGGCGTAGGCCTCGGCGTCGCTCTTCTCCTCTTCTGCGCCCGCCGCCGTCGCCGCGGCCCGCCTCCACTCAGCGAGAAGAAACGCGGCGGCAGCGGTGGTCCTCGCCCGTCGACCTCGACCTCGTCCTTTGGCAACATCATCTCGGAGCCCATCCCCATCACGGACAACGCCACCGTGAGGACGGACTTTATCCTAAAGACCCCGTCCACGACGCACTCCCGCTCGCAAAGCGACTCCGGCTTCGTCACATCGCCGGCGGGGTCTACCCCCAACAAGGGCCACAACCGCCTCTCCTCGACGGCGACGACGCTGGCGCACCACCCGATCGGGCTCGCGCGCAGCGACTCCGCCCCGCGGACGCCGCCCGGGAGGGGAGCAGGCACCGGAGCCGTCGCTCCCATCAGGGGTATGCGTCCCAACTCCGGGTCCAGGCGCCTCCAGCCGCCCAACGTGCCGAACCCGCTCGCGCCGCCGAAGCCGGGGTACATCAACAACAACAGCAGCAACAACCAATCACACCTCCAGCGCGAGCCGAGCAGCGAGAGCATCAGCGTGTTCGCGGACCCGCGGACAGTGGGCGGGCGGCCTGGGGTGAAGAGGAACACGACGTTTACGGATATGATGGAGGAGGCGGAGCTCGGTGACGTGCGGAGGGGGAAGCCGTATGTGCCGTACACGCCGCAGATGCCATCGCAGCCTGCTCGATGATTTCTTTTTGTCTCAAGGGGAGTGAAGGGGGGGAGTGGGATGTTGAGTGTGTCTTTCTTGATGATATTGAAGTTTTTGTAATGTCGGCATATTTGCTCCTTCGCTTCTTCTTCCCTTGTTTCTCGTATTTCTTCTCATATTCTTTAGAGAAACATTTTAACATGCTGGACATGAAGACGGAGATTTGGAGAAGATTATAGGCCTGGCAGACATTCGCTTGACGCTTAGAAGACTTGGGCAGATTGTACCTCGCGGCAGTGGCAAAAGGGGCGTTTCATGTTTTTTTTCTTTCCTTTGTTATTCTGGTCAGGATTATATACCCACGGTCGCTTTACTTGTCTTTCGTTGTTGGTGTAGGTTCAGTTATATAGGTTGATTAGTTTGAAGCCTAGGTGACGCTCGAGTAGGCAGAGGATATATAAATACATATCTTGTTTGCACGGATATCCATGATAAGGGCTCACCCGTGACGAGAGTTTCCTTGAGAAATTAGACAATGGGAGGCATGGTTCATGTTAAGTAAGAGGTATTCAAATGGTGGCTGTGTATGGTTCTGGTGATGGTCTCGAAAGAGCATAACAAGAGGTCGGCCGTGAACGACAGTCATTTGGGCATTCCATGTCCGACATTTAACAACCGAAAGCGAGGTAGAAGTTCTGTGAAATGGCTTGCCATAACGGCCGAGTGCAAGTTTTATACGATGACCAGACATCGATTCACACTCAGTAAAAGTCCGCACCATATCTTCCTTCCTCGACAAGAACAACAAACTACGATCAAAACGCCACTACCGACACCAAAGATACACATCTCGAAACACATCCCCAACCTCACTTCAAGCCCACCAAAAGCAATACAACCGAAAGGAATCAATAAAAAGAACATGACCGTAGAAATAAAACGCCTAAAAATTCGGACATAGTCGCACCGCCGGGATGTCTGACACCCGGGGTTGAACCCGCGATGCCGGCAATCGATGGAGGATCTACAATCCTATGAGAACCTCACCCCTCCCAACCCCCCCTCCACCAGGGGTATTTTCTATCAGGTGTTTAACCACTCGAATACAGCGGCCCAGGGCGTCCCTTGGGATTCGAGAGGCAAACAGAAAATTGTGAGTGATTAAGGGTATCAGGTGGGCGGTGTGAGAGGTATGAGGTACGGCTTGTGACCTTGGTGGGTGAGTTGGGATGAAAGGGTTCTGGTGAGAGGTTTGATGTTGTTTTTTCTCTTTCACCATGAGGCTGTGTACTATGAGGGTGAGTGAAAGGTGGTCTTATGGGAGGAGACTGGTTACAAAGGTGAACAAACGGCCAGACTCTTGGAACGTGATGAGCCCTGCTCAAAGGAACCACATATAACCGCGATGGTACACGTCGTAGTCGACCACGACCATAACAGACGATTCAAAAAAGACCAATATGTTACCATGGTTTTTTTGTACCTTCTCCTTTACGCAGCTAGCGCCCTGTCAGACTTCGAGACCCTGGTGCAGGTTCACAGGGCTGTACCATATCCCGGCGTGCTATGCTCTTCTTTCGCACAGAGAATCTTTAACAAGATTGATCACTTCCAAACGGATGTCCCGGTAGAAACGCTCATGACTTGAACCCATCAGGAATAACTTCTATCCAAGTGCTTAGCCAAGAAAACTCAAAAAGACGCAGACCTACTCTGTTCCGGTCTATCCAGCTCACCTCTTCTTAACTCCGTTGTGTGACACCGCTAGACGCCTCATTGTGATATCATGAAACCCTCAACGTCCTTTACGAAAATCCCAAGTCAAAGAGCACGGGCTTGTCGTTCACATGGTATTGTCTCCAGTGACAGTATACACCAGGAAAAAGTGACGGATTGCTAAAGAACATTGGAAGTGAAACATTCTAGAGTTTGGTTCGCGGAACATGATGAACGAGGCTTGTTCTTGGTCGTAATTTGTTTGTAGTGGTGGGAATAGATCACGACATATGGGTTTGGGGAGGTGCCGCCATGTTTCAAAACCAGTGAGAAGGGTTCTCAGCAGGTCAAGGTATATTGGCATATGGCAAGAGTAGGGAATCGCTTTCATGATATGATGACCGAGGTCTTTTAAGTGAGGCACTACAAGGCGGGAAACACTTGACAGGGCGGCCTCGACATATTCTAGTCTCGCCGAGGATCATGACATACATATGGATGCGAACCATGGTATTTGTTTGAAATTTTGTTTAATTCTTTTTCTTTTTTTGGTGTGGCTATTCTTCTCGAACTGTCTCTGCAGTTCTCATCATTTTTTGCCATGCCGACGTTTTCAACCATCATAAAACCATAGCAATCATCCCGGTACGTGCTCAAGCAACATCTCCCTTCACAACCCACTTTACGCTGCCTGGCTCGAGGTACCTACATACGCACCATACCCACCACTCCCTTCCTCACCTCAACACACAGAACTTATGAGTGTGTAGGCATCGAGACATCAGCCTTTTGCGAAATCGCATCGGCAGACGCCCAGAAAGACGTGACCGTCTTCTGCTGCGTCAAGAAGGAAATACCGGGACGTCCGTAAAACGTGTTGGCGCCGCCCGCGGCAACGCTCTTCTTGTTGCCGGTAAAGGAGAACATGGGCAGAGGGACGGGGATGGGCACGTTGATACCGACCTGGCCGGCCTCAATGTTGCGGCGGAAGGCCTCGGCGGTGGCGCCGGAGCGGGTGAAGATGGCGGTGCCGTTACCGTACTCGTTCTTGTTGATGAGCGCGACGGCCTCGTCAAGCGTGTCGACGTTGAGGCAGACGAGGACGGGGCCAAAGATCTCCTCCGTGTAGCACTTCATCTCTGGCGTCACGTTGGTGATGATGGTGGGCGCGACCCAGTTGCCGTTGGGGTACTTTGCGGGCTTGTAGCCGCGGCCGTCGAGGAGGATGGTGGCGCCCTCGTCCTCGGCACTCTGGATCAGGCTCTCGATGCGCTGCTTGCTCTGCGGGGAGATGACGGGGCCGAGGTCGGCACCGGCCTCGAAGCCGCCGTCAACCTTGAGCTTCTTGGCCAGCTCGGCCAGCTCGGGGAGCCACTCCTTTGTCTCGCCGACGAGGACGAGGGTACTGAGGGCCATGCAGCGCTGACCGGCGGCGCCAAAGGCTGCGCCGACGACGCTGTTGAGGAAGTGGTTCTTGTTGCAGTCCGGCAGGACGGCGGCGTGGTTCTTGGCGCCGAGGTTGGCCTGGACGCGCTTGCCGTGGGCGGAGCCCTTGTTGAAGATGTACTCGCCGGCCTTGTTGCCTCCGACGAAGCTGACTGCCTTGATGACGGGGTCCTCGAGGATGAAGTCCACCGTCTTGTGGGCGCCGTGGACGACGTTAACGACGCCCTCGGGGAAGCCGGCCTTTTGGACGAGCTCAGCGAGGATCATGGCCGCGCCGGGGTCGCGCTCCGAGGGCTTCAGGATGAGGGTGTTGCCGGTGACGGTCGCGATGGGGATGCACCAAAGGGGAATCATGGCGGGGAAGTCTAAACCCTGTTAGCTTCGCCTCTCACTTTATTTGATGCTTCACCAAAGAAACCATGTCGGGTTCACTTACTGAAAGGGCAGATGGCAGACACAACACCCAATGGCTCACGGTAGCTTCTCGTCTCCATGTCCTTGGCCACCTCCAACACCTCGCCCTTCAAGAGCTCAGGCGCACCGCAGGCGGCCTCAGCAACCTGCAGACCACGAAGAACATCGCCCCTGGCGTCGGCAAACGTCTTGCCCTGCTCGAGGGTGATGCTCGCCGCCAGACGGTCCCAGTTCTCGCGGATGAGGGCGACGAACTTGAACATGATCTGCTGGCGGGCGAGGACGCTCATGGCACGCCACTTGGGGAAGGCCTTCTCGGCCGAGTCCACAGCGGACTGCAGCTCCTCGGTGGTCATCTGCGGCACGCGGGTGACGAGGTTGTTGGTGGCCGGGTCGTGGAGGTCGATGAAGTCGGTCGCGGCCGAGGTCATGAACTTGTTGTCCAAGAAGAAGGGGGTGTCTTCTGGCTTGGCAATCTTCTCGTGGGTGTTGGGGTAGGACTCGGCCGTCGAGTCCAGGGCGGCGTTGAGGTGCTTCGCCGTGGCGTGTATCCTCCTCGCCGCGACGGCGGAGGTGGGTGAGCCGGAGGAGGCCATGATGGTAGGCTTTGAGAAGAGGAGTGACGAGCGGGTGAGAGATGCTCTAGAGGTTCGGCCAGCACCGGTAGTAATGCTTCGAGTGAATGCTCGACGCATTGTGAAAGAAAGAGGGAAAAGGGAGAAGAGGGGAGAGGAGAAGGAAGAAGAGGAAGAAGGGTATAGGAGAGGTCTCTGACGACAGCCAACGATTGGGTAAACTAGAGACAGATAGTGCTACACACTGCAAGAACAACAAACTGGCCGCTCCGTCGTCTTGGGATCGTTCGTCTCAAGCCAATTGCCAGCCACTTCTTTCACAAGAGACGCGGGCACCGGAGTTGAGCGACATCGTAGTCCCTTATAAAGTCCCAGGGAACTCGGCGAGCTCCCAGAGTGTGGGGAAAGGTTGGGGTGGGGTAAGATAACGCTGCCATGGCTCCTACTGATTCCAGAATCCCTGCCCAGTTTCCCCCAAGCTCCCAGTTGGCTCCTCCCAGCCGAAGCCGGCCCCAATGCCGCCTTATGCCGAGAGGGAACCGTGCTTTTTGGTGCTACAAGCGTCAGGTGGGCGCTCTTCGCCGGCGTAAACGGCGTAAACAGCGTATCACCCTACTGCGTATGCGGCGGAGAAGCGGCTGGTGGATCTGAGACCTTCATAGCGGGAGACCGGGGGCCACATTTGACCGCGGAGCTGATGACCTTATCTTGAGATGACGGGATGGACCTGGAACACAATTACATTTCGCTTCTAACATGTCATTCCACATCACATCTGAAATCGGAACGTAATGTTGTAATCAATCCCTTTGTTTTTTTTGGTAGCTAGAATACACCTACGCCATGCTCTCTGTCTGTCCCTCGATGACCAAAAACAGGCATAGAATGAGGGAGTTAAACTGAAAAAAGCAGCATCCATGATTCTCTTCGGTTCCTGATACCGCCCTTGTGCTTACGTTAAAGCACGATACTTTTAGGCCTCTGGCCTTCTCCCGGCGACGATATCAAAGAGAAAGCAAACTAATTCACAATTCAATCGCAAGAACCGTTCTCATCTAAGACGAGCTGCGGGTGTTGCGCTTGGTAGCGTCCTTCGCGACGTCGGCGCCAGAGGCAACAGCCTTGGTGGCCTTGTCCTTGACCTCCTTCGCCTTGTCCTTGACATCAGCCGCGGCCTTCTGGGCAGCGGGGGGAGCACCACCAGAGCTGGCAATGCCGACAATGATGGCAATCAGAGTGACGAGAAGAGCACCGATACCGCCAGCAACCTCGGGAACGAACTTGACGGCCTGGATGGGGTCCTTCTGGGCAATGGTGATGAAGAGGTCAAGCTTCTCCTTGATGAAGTGAACGGGGTCGTCAAGGAACTTGAGGTCGTTGGGGGACTTGGGCTTCTCGGCTTCCTTGGGCTTGTCGGCGAGCTCAGCGAGCTGCTCAATGGGGTGCTTCTCCTTGAAGGTCTCCTCGGCAAGCTTGGCAGCATCCTCAACGGAGTGGCCAATGTAGATGTTGTCGAAGAGGATGTCGTTCTGCATGGTCCAGATCTCGAAGCCAATCTGTTGATTCGTTTGTTAGCAGGCGAAAGACATACCGGTACGTTATCGGGGATACTTACAGCGCCCATGGGCTCAAAGTTGGCGGGGGTCTTGTCCTCGAAGTAGTCGGGGTTCTTAATCTTGCGAGGAGCCCAGACGCCCTTGTAGGCGGGGTTGTCAATGTACGGCGCGGTCCACTTGCCCTTGTAATCAGGGTTCTTCTTCAAGGGCTTGGTCCAGGGGCCACATCCAGAAGCCTCAGTGCACTTGGGGTTGGGAACAGTAGGGGCGACCCAGTCACCATCCTCCTCATCGTCCCAGTCCTCGGGCTTCTGGGCCTCAGGGTCAGGGATGGTCTGAGCCTCATCCTCGAGCCAGTCCTCGGGCTTAGTGGCTTCCTCATCGACAATCTCGTAGGGGGCGTCCTCATCCCAGTCCTCGGGCTTCTTGGCCTCGGGGTCGGCGATGCGGGCCTCATCGACCCAGTCCTCAGGCTTGGAGTCCTTGGCGTCGTCAATCTCCTTCTCAGGGTTGACGGAGGGGGAGAAGTCCTCAAGAAGGGAGCCGGTCTTGACCTGCTCGCCGTTCTGCTGGATGATGAAAGTGTTGTTGGGGTGGACAATGAGAGTGTAGAGCTCGGTGGTCTTGACAATGCGAGCGGTGGGGGGAGAGGTAAGGTGCTTCTCCTCGTAGTCACCAGTCTTGGGGTTCTTGTGGTTGAAGATGAAGTGAACCTTGTTGGTGTGGCCGCACTTATCGGGACCGAACATGATCACATAGGGAGTGGCGTTCGAGAACTCCTCAGAGTGAAGAGCCTTGTTCTCACGGAGAAGCTTGAGGTAAGCACCACCGCACTCAAGACCGTCTGAGAGGGAACGATTGTTAGCACTCTGTTGTGAGGATGTAGTTTGAGCGAAGTGATGCGGAACTTACTCTGAAGCTTGACTTCGTACTGAACAACGAGGGTCTTGCCCTTGTTGTCAATCTTCTTAGGGAACTTGGCCGAGATGGCGTGGTGAGCGGCGGGGTTCTTGACAACAAGACCCTTGTCACCCTCCATGCCCTTGTAGACGGTAGGCTCCTCGACGGACCACTCGCCAACGTAGGCCCATTCCTCGTCATCCTTGGAGTCCTTCTTGGCGTGAGAAGGGCTCCAGCGGCTCTCCCAGTCGTCGGTGAACTGCTCCAAGAAAGGAGCCTTCAGGGTAGTAGGCTGTAGAATAAAAAAAACCATTGTCAGATAATCGCTTATTTCGTTGCCTATTGCGCAGGCGCGGAGAAGCTCCAAAGAATGATTCCAGCCCGTTCCCATTGTGCATTGAGCTCATGCGTCAAGCATCAGATTGCAGCGAATGAACAGTGAGGGGGAGGAAGCTTCACTCGGAACAACAAAGAAAGCCATTGGCGAGGAGAAGGGGAGAGCTTACCGTGAAGGTGGACAACTGGGGAGTGACCGAGGTAGAGGACTCAGCAGCAGTGGAGGTCTTATCCTCACTGAGGACCTTCTGAGCATCGTCGGCGTAGACGCCAGCGAACATTGCCGCGGCGGACAACGCGGCAGCGTTGAACTTCATGTTGGGCGAGATGTGGTATCGGTGTCTCGGCTTCAGTCGGGTTCAGGTAGATGAGGGGGGGAGGTAAGTAGCGTTAAAGCTGTTGGGTTGTAAAGGAAAGATTGTCAATTGAATGACAAAGAGGGTAGAAAGGGCTCCCGGTCGCAGTGGATGGAGAGGATTGGTATTTTCGAGGAGGAAATTCCCAAGGAGAGGGAAAAGAGTTTCGGAAGGAGGAATGGGGCGAGGAAGACGACGGATTTATCAGTCTGTGAGGCAGGCACGCGCAAGCGGGTTGTGCTCAACGTGTCCTTTTTTTGCGGTAAAAGGTCCCCAGCAAACCTCAGCGACCAAAAGCAGAGAGCACCCGAAAAAAAGGCCAGGTAGGGGAGAGCTCACTAAGGTGTGGCCCGTCGGGGTAAGGTTCGGCAAGGCAGAGGTTCTGAGCCAATCAAATTGACAGAAAATTGGAGAATTTTCGGGGGTACCAGCAGCGAGAGCAGTTGCCGTAGCATGCAATCCGCTACCTAGCTTCAGGGGTCGTCGGGGTAGCACGCCGCTGCCCACCGCAGCCCAGTGTAGCCAATGCAAAGCCGCTGCGGTACCTTTTTCAGTGGGCTGCTTCTGCTGACAATGACATGCGGGCTGCGGACTGTGGCTCGGTGAGGTGAGGAAAGTGCGGGGGCCCTTGGCGACGGAACGGGATCCACTGGTTCTAACAGTGAAGGGAAGGAGGGGATATTCATGGTGCTTCGACGAGCTTCCAAATTCTCGATTGCTGATCCTGGTTGATGGACTGAGCTCTTCCGCCCTTGGCTGGGTTGCCATTCTCTCCTTTTTACACCAGTTGGCGGAAGATGAAGAGCGACTGGTGTATCGCTCTCAGAAGCATGCACTCCGCGATGTATTGCGATTCAATCGAGGCTAGTATCTGAGGTTGGCGGCTGATCCCGAAATGTCTCGAGATGGACTGTATCAGTGCCGCGCCGTTGGAGCTGCCATTGCCATTCACTGCTTTACTAATATCACACACAGTCGACCAGAGTAGTAATATGGGTGCACATTGAGCAGACAAGACTGCGAAAATGCACAGATATGCCTCGATTTAAGCCAGCGCCTGATTGACACTCGCACGACACGATCCCGGCTGGGGTTCACCGGCTCGATTGATCGAAAAGATATCCGTTTCGGGCAGGCGTGTTTGTGGATTTAATATGACAGGAGTCAGGCTTCTAATTTGTCCTAATATCTCACGAAAGCTTCCTCCTGAATAAGGGCGTCAAGGTGGGCGCTCCCCACTCGACGGGATAAATAGAAACATGGGCGTTCGACCGTCGTCGAAAAAAGGCTAGGTGTCCTCTTTTTTGTCGCATCACCTGCAGGACGCCTAATCAGCCTCAACCAGCGACCGGACTAGCTGCCGATTCTTCACCAGTCTGTCTCATCATCTCTTCTAGCACCACCTGCTGGTACCCGTCCCCTTTTTCCAATGCCTGAACCCGTGCTATGAGACTTTGTCAATCCCGCCGTCGTATTTACCAGCTATGACCCGGTGCCCATTTGTAGTTGGGGCTGCCGATGGACCCGAGTTGAGAGAGGTGCGAGATGGCGAGGATTGACCAATCGCAAGAGCCTCTGTCACTGTCTCCTAAGTCGCAACTCTTTGGAGTGGAGGAGGAGCGTTCCGTGCCTTTGCGTGCTCGCCATGTGGGGAAGGCGACAACTGCCACTGGCTCAACTCTCCTCTCGCCTCGCTCAGCCTCATATGAGCTCGTGTGGCTGGTGAGAAAATTTCCCGACTCTTGTGACTGGGAGAACTCGGTTTTACTGAGTTAATATATCGCAACCGTGAGCTCAGATTTTCCTGGATACCCGAGAAACAATTTTGTACCTCCAAACTAGGATCTCCGTATTTTTCACTGCCATCTACGAGTTTTAGCCCGAGCCAAATCGAGCATAACAGAGTATCACAACTCGAGAACCCCCCGTTCGCTACCCAAATTACCCCGCGAAACTCACCTTAAAAGCCAGTCCACCATGGCGTCCACAACTGAGATTGAGAACCCCGACCTGCTCGTCACCTCAAACGACCCGGAACACCCCGCGAATCTCATTCCTTCGCTTTGCGCAAAGTTCTGGACATTAGGCTGGGTTACTGGTACCGGTGGTGGCTGCTCCATTCGAAATGAGTAAGTTTATACATCTCAAGTCCTACTTGTAAATGGGATATATTTGTCCATATCTCATTCGATAATCACAACTTGCTTCCTCGTTTCACACACCAAGAAGCCAAACATCGCATCATACCCCATTGCTCACAAACTTCACCTCACTTGGTGCACATACACACAAACCTACCTAAAACACATAAATCATGACTCTCACTTACACCCTCCCAGCGACCTCGTCTACCTCGCCCCCTCAGGCGTCCAAAAAGAACTCATGAAGCCTCAGGACATCTACGTCCTCTCTCTCGCCGCCCAAGAAGCATCCCTCAAAAACCGCGTCTACCTCCGCTCCCCGCCCTCCTACAAGCCTTCCCAGTGCACCCCTCTCTTCCTCGCCGCCTTCACCCGCCGCGGCGCCGGCTGCTGCATCCACACGCACTCCCACTGGGCCGTCCTCGTCACCCTCATCCTCGAGGGTCAAGGCCGCGCCGGCGGCAACGACAAGCTGTTCGAGATCAACAACATCGAACAGATCAAGGGCTTCGGAAAGGGGTTCCAGAAACAAGGCAATCTCGGGTACCACGACACCCTCCGCATCCCCGTTATCGAGAACACGGCCCACGAGGAGGACCTGACAGAGTTCCTCGAGGAGGCCATGGACAAGTACCCCGACACATACGCCGTGCTGGTGCGGAGGCACGGCGTCTATGTTTGGGGCGACAACGTCCACAAGGCCAAGACGCAGTGTGAGAGGTGAGTTTGAGTCTCTTCCTCTGTGAGAATGAGATTATCATGTCTCTCTCCTCGTTGCAGAAAATCGGGACGGAATCCTGCTCTTCCATCTTGGAAACATTCCTCCTCTTCCCTCATCCCTTGTTCCTGATTTTCTCCCATACCGATTGTTTGTCTCGCACAGAGCGAGCGTGGAAATATGCTAACGAGGACCGTTACGTAGCTTGGACTATCTCTTCCAATTGGCCGTTGAGATGAAACAGTTGGGCATTCCCTGGATCAGCGACATTCCAGTGACTGTTCCTACCCGATCCTGAAAGAAGATTACGAAGTAGAAGTCGAAGAAATCGATCTAATGACGAGGGTCTTGTGACGTCCCTGCAGTGAACAACGTGATAGGGGTCACTTACGGATGACTTACGTCTGAAACCAAACCGCCACCCGTCAAGAAGCAAATCGCATCGCGCACCGAACCAAGATAATCTTGCAAGGAGCAACGCCTCAGATCCGCTTATCACTTGGAATATGCGTTCAACTCAGTACATGGACCGCATGTCACACAAAAACACGAACACCTTCAAGCACGCACGAACTACGAGGAAGACATTGTGATATTGACGTTTGGCAGACGTTGGTGTCCGCTAGTAACATTAACACATATCCTTTAATCTGCCTATTAAATCATTGACCACATATATAGCAATCGTCTCCCAAATGGTATATACCCCTCTCCGTGAATCCATACATTCGTCCCACTCTTCCTGTCATCCTCCTTTTCATGTTCATCCTCCGAATGGCAAGGGTATTTAGATCAGGAGAGCGGCGCCAATAAGACCAACGACACCGAATGAAGCAGAGCCGACCAGAGCGGGGGCAGCAGCGTTGGCGGTGGAAGATGAGCTGGAAGCAGCCCCGGTGCCAGAGGCAGCAGATGAGCCGGAGGCGCGAGTGGCAGTGCCAGAGGCAGAGCCGGTGGCGGCGGAACCGGTAGCAGTGGCAGCTGTCGCGCTACCGCTTGAGCCAGAGCCGGATCCAGATCCAGCGGTGGCAGCGGGGGTAGCACCGCTGCTGAAGTAGTTCTCAGTGATGCATTTCTGCGTACAAGCAGCGTAGCGATCCGTGGCGGCAGCACTCCCGTCACCCTGATCACACTTGGCGACGCAGGCGGTAGTCTTGTTGACCTGGTCCTCGTTGGGGTTGGGGACCTGTGAGCACCATGTGTTAGTCTTTTGTTGAAAATCCTTCAGCTTGACGCCATTTTTGGGTCTCAAAACGTACAGAGATACACTTGGCCTGGCAGTTGACGTCGGTGGCGGGGCAGCCAGACAGGCACTTCTCGATGACAGCCTGGGCGGAGGAGGCAGCGGAAGCGGAGGTGGTAGTGGTAGACTGGGCGGCGGCCAGGACGGCGAAGGCGCCGGTGACGATGATGGAGGTGAAACGCATCTTGACTGGTAGTAGTTGGTTTTGTGCTGTTACAAAGGTGTATTAAGAATGGTGTAAGTTGTTGATATCCGAACAAGAACAGCGAATGTAGGCGTTTTGAAACAGGTGATCGAGCAACGAGTGTATGGCAGAGGCTAGAGAGAGAGGGAGGAAAGGAAGGGAGACCAGGAACAGAGTGGATGGACTGGAGGTGGGTTTAATAGTGTGCAGTGTTCCGAGCGAAAATCCATCTCTGGATCCAATGTCGACCTTTTCCCGCTCGGGGTGACAAGCCAAGGCGCGCCCCCAGGTGCCATGCTATGATTAGCCTTGGTAGTGTGGTCTCTTCCCTGCGCTGCCCACCCACCCCCTTCACCTCTTCAGCTGCAAAGTTGTGTGGCCCATCGATGTTCTCCGTGTGTCGATGGGCCGGGAACACGCTTGTGTCTGCACGCAACTTGCAAGGGCGGATTCTGGGGTGGGTAGACAGGGTGTGGGCTCAACGAGGACCTGGAAAGTTTTACTGCGTACACTAGGTATTAGCAGGCGACGACGACCAAGAGAGCAAAGTAAGTAAGTACTAGGTACGGAGCAGCACCACGTACTAGAAGCCAAGCCGGCCAACAAGACCTGATTCTCCTTCGGGTTGAGCTTGTGACTTGTGACTCGACTCATAGCCGGTTGCCCCCGTCCCTTGTTGTTGATGTGGGCGGAAGGACTCAAAAGCCAAACACAAGCGAAAAAAGGGGAGCCCAAAGCAAGGTTGGATGGAGGTTGACGATCGAATTGGATCGCGCCGCGTCTGGGGAAAGATTGGGACCTGCGCCATGGACTGAGGCCAGGACGTGACCTAAGGCAGGTACGTACCGCACATAGCCTTAAGGTTAGGCACTTTGAGCCTTTTCGAAGTAAGGCAGGAACTTACGGATACACTAGGAAGGAGGCATGGAGGAGAGAACCCACTTCCTTCTTCCCTCCCGTCCGCGTCGAAAGCGAAAGCAAGAGCGAGAAAATACTCCCGGCCCAGAAAAAACGAGGTGCAGCACTTGCAGTCTTGCAGACCAACCATGCCTGCCAAAGTGGGCCCGGACCAACTGTTTAATCCCAATTTTAAAATTGCACTTTGACTTTTTGCCCTCTCCCTCTGCCAGGATTGCCAGGGCCTCTTCGAATCTCCTCACATTGTTTGCAACGGCGAGCCAATTGTCACCTGTCTCGTCCCTTGCAATGTCTCCATCCATCAGGACTTGCCGGCAGGTCCAAGGCCAGTGAGGTATTACATCAGTGTGGAGGGCCGTTGGTCTGGTGGTCTGTTCGTATTCCCCTCTGCGTTTTGTCGAGGCCCTCGATCGAACCTCGCCACGACTTTAGCCTCCGTCCACCACCACCACGCGGGTACAAGGTCTCATTTGACACATTGAATTTGGTCTTCGAGGCATTGACGCCTCAATTTGAGCCCTGTACCCATACAGCACGCTATCGATGCAACCACGGCAATATAGCTGCAGAGGCTTACCTGTGCCTGCGTGGTATTAGAGAAGAAACCCGTTCAGACGATGTTGACAGTCAAGCACAGAGGAAACATAAGCAGAAGAAAATAAAACAACAGACGATTTTCACGGACGAATGCTCAACGACCAGCGTGACACGACCCTGGCGCGTCTCCTCGAGTAATGCAGGGTTTCCTGGCAAATGGCACCGTGCCATTGGCCGAGGGCACATGCCCTTGTCTCAGGGGCCAGACGACCAGCGCTGTCGACCTGTCGACCGGACAAAGCGCTGGAGCGCCACACTCTATACCACTGTGCAAGCGCTCCATCGGGTACCTGAGAAAGCTGAGATGCGCTGCCGACTAGCACCTGAACGGCCATTCCAAGGACCCAAGATGAGCACTAGATGAGACAGAACCACAGAACTTGAGCGAGTCTCAACCTGCCGCCAAGTTTTCTTCTCGACGGTGGGACGGCCAACTGCGGTGAAATGGTGAATAGTCAACAGCATTTGGTACTTTGCCCATCCATCGGCCTAGGAGCGACACCGGTGACGGGTCATGACGATCCATCAGTCCACTGAGAATACTCCCCCCCTGTGACCTAGATTCGTTTCGAAGCACCTCCTAGTGACGGCTCTTTACAGGACGGGATGGATATCCGTCCAAACGAGCTCATGTTCGTCCGGATTCATTTGGGTCTACTCTATTCCCGACCGACAGCCGATCATCGTCATATGCCGTTACCCGTCAAGCCAACCACTTACACGGGCGTGTGAGGGCTGATGGGGGACACACACACAATGCATTCCTAGAGTCCCAAGTGTCGTTGCCAGCTGCAGTGAGATCGAGAATAGGACCAATAAACCCAGAAATACATTTCGCCTCGTTGGATTTCGTATGAAGCGGATTCTGCATGAATACGAGATGCCCAGCAACCACATCGCTCAATGAACGATCTTTGATCTGCATCCCACAGACAGTGCCACACGACACCTCCCAACACACCAATGCCGTGCCGTGGAGCCGTTGGACTTGCGTTACGGGTTATGGCCCGCCCAGAGGATGCGCCGTCAAGCCTCCGCCTGTGGCGATGCACCATTTCAGTTCTTCTGATTCCCGTTTGCAGCATCAAGCCGGAGAATTTGGCAACAAATAAGACATCGTTACACCTTTAGTTGTCTTGGGTCGTGTGCAGCCTGCCACGGGCTGTCTCGTATATCTGGACCCTCGAATAACTACTACAACATCGGCATACGTATTTTCGATGGCAATATTCTATGGTAATGGGTCTCACCAAACCAAATCCCACGGCATGTCCGACTTTGCTCCCTGTTGCTCAATACCAGAGAACGGAAATTTCACAACGTCATGCCGTCCTCCCCCGTCCGAACACTAGACCGCTCCGGCCCTTTCTATGCTCCTCCCTGGCGCCCAAGTTCAATGCACTGGGGAACGTGGCAGAGAAAAGACATATCCCTGCCTCACGATCGCAGCATGTTATTGGCTGCTTACTCGCCCGGCTTTCCATGTCACTTCTCCTTTCTAGAAGTTAGAACGGCGCTTCTCGAAGTAAGCTCTAAAGGGTGCTTCTTGGGACGATTTTTGGAGCCGGGGTAAGGTTTCGAGATGCGCCAGTATGCGAAAATCATAATTGCTAAATTCCTCATCGCGGCCTGGCCGTTACGATGGAATGCCACATACATGATGAACAAAGGAACGGCGCCTGAGGCGCTTCCCGAAACTTGCAACGGGGCACCGCTAGACGTATGTCTCGCAGCAATACAGCTACTTAGTCGCAAGCTGGGTCAAACGTACGAGTGCCGGAGATCAAAATCATTGTCCATGTGATGATATTTCTTCTTTTACCGAAACCGCTTAGGCGTTTCGTAAGAGCAGCCCCTCGACATTTGGTCGCCTGACTACCTTACTTAGAGCTCGTCTCGCTGCCTAATCTCTTCTTGCGCTTCTTGCGCCCCTTGCTTCAGCTCATCAACGGCCACCTGGTCAACGACGGCCTCACCCTCTAGCGGCTCGGCTTCGTCCACAGCCGTCTCCTCGCCGATCTCTGCCGGCATCTCCTCCACAATCTTACCCACCTTCTCGACCAGCGATTCGGGATCTCCACCGACCGCCGATCGCTGCGGCTCCCGTCCGACCTCAATGGTAGGCAGCGACTCATCCGGCAAACCCTCGACATCAATCTTGCCCTCGTTGACCACCACGGCCTCGGAGGGGCTTTTGGACCCGGCGTACTTGACCACCGCTCCGCCGCCGCCGACAGTGAGGTTATACACCAGGCGCAACGGCAGCCAAACGAGCCACCACATGGGCCCATACAGTAACCTCCGGAACAGAAGCCACGCGCCCGTCGCCATGAGCATGTAGAGCGCCGTCTGAAGGTACCACGTATCACTCTTGTTCGAGCGGAGCAGTGTGCCCAGCAGGTCCTTGGAGCTCGCCAGCATCGTGTCGAGCGAGCCGTACGAGTCGTCGAGCTGCGCCAGCGCCGCCGAGGACTCGGTCAGCGTCTGGTGCGCGAACTCGCTGCGGGCCAGCTCCGCCGCGATGAGGTCGTGCGTGCGCCGCAACGCGCTGGTGACGTTGCCGCTGGCGCCGACGGTCTGCTTGTCCTCTTCTGTCAGGGAGCTCGTGTTGTTGTGTGTTTGGTGGACCTGTCGGTGGCGGACGACGTCGGGCTTCTGTTGCGCGCTGAGGGACGGCGAGGACGCTTCGGAGACGGGCTGCGAGTAGGATTGGATGAGGAGTTCGCGCTCGAGGCGCTGGGCCTGGGAGAGGTTGCGCCGAGCTGCGAGTTGTGCCTTGCGGAAAGTGATTCGTGAACTATGTGTGACGTTGCGTGTTAGTGACCTTCGATCTCCCGTTCGAAATCCCCTGCAATTACTGTCAACCGAGGGTAGAGCTAGGGGGATCCTCACCTCTTGATCTCCTGCTTCAACCTCTCCACGCCATCCTTGAGACGGGTCTTTGTGTGCTCCACCTCGCTCCCCGGCCTGCCGTCCCTGAGATCTTCCACCTCCTCCCCGAGAAGCTCCAGCTCGTCCTCCTCTTCCCGGATGATCTGGCTGATTTCCGAGCTCAGCTCCGCGCTGGCGCTGTTCTCCTCGTCTGCTGCTGCGCCGCTGCCGAGCGGAACCGATCCCGGCTGGAATTTGAGGTTCTGAAGCCTGTCGATGAGGTCTTTGAGCTGGGTCGTGGTCTCTTGCAGGGCCGTCAGGCGCTCCTGCAGACCTTCGAAGGACATGGCTTCTTTTACTTTCTCTTTTCCCTTTTTCGACTTTGTGATCTGGCTCGTTTAGTTCGCTGCGTGCGCATTTACTCGTCTTTTGCAAAAGTCGGGTGGGAATGCTCTCGGGCAGCGGGTGGGAGTGTTATAAGTCAAGGTGCGACGATGCAAGGTAGGGGCGTAAAGCTGGCCTTTCGCGGTGACGAAATGTGTGGTACAGAGGGATATTGCCCCCCGTTATACCAATATGCAACTTTCTGCGCCACATGGTCTCCGGCCACCGGGGGAGGCGGCAAGCCACACGCGGCGGCGTCCAAGCTCCTCCCCCCGTCCTCCCGAGTCCCGACACGAGCCACGCGACCCAAATTTTTGGCGACAGCTTCGAAGCGCATTGTGAAGTACCTAATCGGAAGTTGAACCACCTCCCGCTTGACTACACCATCACCAATTCCCCCCTCTCGTCCGACCTCGCCCTCAAGTCCGCTTTGAACGATACGATACCGCCCAAACGTCTCACATTCTGCCATACCTACACCTCCTGCGAGACACAACTGAACCGCCAAGATGATTACCAAATTCATGACCGAGATCACGACAAAGTTCAACCCCTTCTCGCCCGCAGCCAAGTCCGCGCGCCTCTTCATGTCCAACATCCCGCCCACGGCGCGCTCTACGGGCACGACGATCAAGACTATCCTCCTGCCCCGGACGTCGACGGAGCCCGCTTCGCTTTATGTCAAGTTCAGTGCGTTCCCCCCTTGCCGTCTGCACCTACTCGTTTCCTATCTCAATCCTCCAGAAAACAATCGTAGTGAAGAGTGAACCTTGGCTAATGTATTGCGTGTGTATAGAGGACGGCAAGGAGATTACGATTGACTGCGAAAAGATGGGCGTCAAGAACATGATTGAGGAGGTGGACAGACACTCTCGCGGTCTGCAAAAGGCTGCCGACTTGACCGACTAGACGTAAAGGCCAGAGAGGGAAGAATCCGTGTACTATTATAGCATCTTGTTCTTTTTAACGATAACCCGGCGTTTCATGTTGGAATTGGGAACGATAGATATCCCTCAGGGCTCTCTCGATTGGCTACGTCAGGCGGCTCAGTGTGTAGGAGACAGACTAGACGAGTGAGGCAGATGCTGTCAAACTGCTGTTGTACAAAAGTGCTTCAGGGGACTAAAACGACTCCTACGAATAGAAAAATATGGACATCACAAGAAGCTCAAGACTTGGGTCATAAACAGCAGCTCCAATGGCACAGATTTTACGGTACTTTAACTTTTTTGGTATTCTAGTTGACGCCTTTCGGGCCCTCGAGCTCTGACTCCGTTTTCGACTACATCTACTAACAAAGTGACGCAAAAAATATGGTCTGAGCTTTCGTCTGGCTAAAGCAATCCGCCGGTACTACCAATTCAAGAAAACACAAGAGGGAGGAGGAATCCCTTATGCGGAGGCACCGCTGATGAAGAACCACTTGTCGATGGAGGCGTCGATCTTGGCGGCGGGGAGCTCCTCGTGAGCGGGCAGAGGGGGAAGCTGGCCAGCGCTGATGAGAGCGGGGGACTGCTGGACGGTGGTGTTGCCGCTAAAGACATGCTTGTCAGTAAAGGGTATTCAGACAAAACGTGGCTTGCTGTGCCAAGGTCTTGCGTGATAAAAAACTTACGTGGAGACGCTGCCGGCCTGGGTCTTGCCGGTGATGAGTCTCTCCCAAGCCTCGGCGCACTCACGGACGACGTCCATGGCGTAGCTGTGGCATTTGGTTAGCTTAAGGATAATAGGTAGGTATATCAATTGTTCAAGACGAACCTCTTGTTCTTGCACTCGCCGGTGAAGGCGAACTGGTTCTCGGGCTTTCCGTCGGGGATCTTGTAGATGCGGAACCACTCGTTGGTGGCACGGAGAAGGCCGGGCAGGTGGCGCTCGACGTCCTCGACGTCGTTGAGCTTGGGGGCGAGCGGGTCGTTCACGTCGATAACGATGACCTTCCAGTCGGTCTCCTCCTCGTCGAGCAGGGCCATGACACCGAGGACCTTGACCTGCTTGACCTGGCCGGTGTAGCCGACAAGCTCACCGATCTCGCAGACATCGAGCGGGTCGTTGTCACCCTTGGCCTTGGTCTCGGGGTGGATGGCGTTGGGGTCCTCCCAGGTCTGGAGCACAGCGTTAGATATTGTTTTTCTCGACCACAAGCTGTTATCTTTTCAGGGGCCTTTTTTCTTTCGTACCTGGGGGAAGGCACCGTAGTTCCAGAGGTAGCCCTTGTGGGGGAAGCAGTTGCGGACGTAGCGAAGCTTGCCCTTCTTGATGTCCTGCTTGATGGGGTTGAGGAGCTCCTCCTTGGAGATCTGCGGGTGGAATTGTCGGTCAGCGTCACATGCCCGTTTTCGTTCGTGTTCGTGTCACAATGCTCATGGCAGAGCAACAGTAGCGATCACGGCACAATAGAGAAGGGGACACGAATGCTTACCTCGAGCTTGGCGTTGGTCCAGCGGGGGATCTCAACAACCATGTTCAGGATGGTCTGCTCCTGGTTGGCGTACAGAGGAATGTCGTGGAAGGGGGAGACGGGGACGCCATCCTTCTCGATGTAGACACGGTGCTCGAGGGTGTTGGGAGCACCAACCTTGCGGAGGGAGTAAGGGGAAGCCATTGCGGGCGATTGGTGATGGAAACTTGGGTCAGAGTCCTTTGAGATGGTAGAGAAGTGACGGGCAATCTGCGCGGTGCGTTGGGAGGGAATTTTGGATTTAATACCGGGGGCACCAGCAGTTTGTGACGGGCGAGGAGGGGTGCCGTTGGCGGATGATGCAAGGAGGGATGGAGGGGGAGGGGTAGGAGACCCGGACGTTAGCTTGGTGTGTGCCGCCAGGGTTGCAGAGTGATTGGCCCGGGACGGGGCCTGTATCGGGGGTCGACGAGTGAGTGTGGAAACGGGGCTGGGTCGGGCGGAAGGCACGCGAAAACTGAGTGCGCGGCGGCCAGTACCAGTACAGGCGGTGGAAGGCAGAGGCAGTGCGGATACGGGGGGGAATGAGCTGACAGAGCTGACAGTTGTCTTGCGAAGGGACGGGAGCTGCAGCTTAATGCCTCGTAGCAGCGGCATGTGTAGGTAGTGTAGTATACAAAGTGACCTTGGGGCCGGGCCAGAGGGAAATCGGTCAAAGGAGAGTAGAAGAAAGGGTGATCAAAGGGGAATTCGGCGTGTGGCGTTTAGAGTTATATCACACAACAGAGGACTCTTCAGCAATTGCGGTAAGACTATTTCGGTCTCATCCGAGGTTCAATGGCAAAAAGAGGTGAGTGTTGCGCAAGACGCTAAGAGTTGTAGCCGTGGCTGGATTGCTGCCGTTCGAACAGGATGGATGCTGGATGGGTCTTTGAGGTACTCGCGGCTATCGGGGCTGCAGAGGCTAGGCAAAAGGCAATTGCTTCTGGTCAGGACGGGGCAAGGAAGAAACCGGGAGAATCGTTCAGTCTGCTTCTGTCGCGACAGCAACCTGCCGACAACGCAACGCAGCCTTCAGAAAATTCTTCACTAGCCTCACCGTGGCTGGAGCTTGCTGATGTACCCCTGCAACTTTGCCCCTCAGTTACCCCTCCATAGTGTCGAGGTCTCTACCAGATGTCTCTTAAGTCTCAACCCAAGGCGATGCCATTAATTGTTCAGGTACATGACATGGTCGAGGCTCTCAAGCAGTGCCTATTTGAGTTTATTGTGATGTCAGCCTCCCAAGGTGCCTATGTCTTTTGTGTGCGCTACCCATACAAAAGGCTCGAATGTCTTCCTACCAGAGTGCACCAACTTGTGCTCATATAGCTGATATTGGTTGAGTTTTCTTCTAGAACACAATCTTTGAAAGGCTTAACTGTAAGAGGGAATTTGTTCATGATTAAGTGGGAAGGTTGTTGCCTCGGTTTTGTAAGTGAGACGGTCAAAAACCCCAGCAACAAATTATAATGAGAACTTCGGTAGAACACTACTGCACTGGTATTTGGGGAAACCCCCAAAGCAAAACAACTTCTCTAATCCAGTATCCAAACATCGAGTTATCAAAATGGCTTACTGGATGCAACGATTTCAAGTCGCGGGCGGCACTTGACATATAAAAGCAGTGCCCATCTCGCATCCAATTCGGCTAAGCGACGCCAAGCTGAATAGTCAAGAGCACTGCCAGCAGTCAAGTACTTTTCTCAAGTAACTCAAGCAGACGCACATAAAACAGCCAATGACCCACAATCAGATTAAATAGTGATCAGGGACATTTGATATTTGATGGCAGATTTTCGGTAGAAAGATGGAATTCGTGGCATCTCAAAAACTTTTGGTCGGTAGTTTCCTCGATTGGTGATCCTCATTGCTTGTTCACTCGCACGCCACACCCCGATACTTGCTTATCGATAAGATACCGTGACACTTTTCTCCGTAATGCACTCTAGCCCGTCAGGGCATCGCCGAAGGAGTCAACCATCGGATTGCGCCGACCATTCCCATTTCTTTTGTACAAGACCATGTAGCTTGAATTTCCCCTCTGGCCATGTCCCTTCGCACGCTGCTCAAGACAATGGGTTCAGAAATCAAGAAAGTCCCGATTCCTCGCCGGGGTGTGGACTATAGGGGCAAGCTTGTTCTTGCGCCCATGGTCCGCTCTGGCGAACTTCCCTCTCGCCTCTTGGCCTTACACTATGGCGCAGACCTAGTCTGGGGTAAGTCGCAAGTATGGGGAACATTGAAGAATCGCACTGACAGGTTCAACAGGCCCTGAGACAGTCGACAAAGCCATGATCGGCACGACGCGCACAGTGAACCCAGTTACCAACACGATAGACTTCACCAAGATCCCCTCGTTCGGCCACAAGAACCCTCCAAAGCACATGCCCGAGGCGATGATCTTCAGCACACACCCGGAGAAGGAGGCTGGAAAGCTCATCTTCCAGATTGGGACGGCAGACCCAGACTTGGCAGTACAGGCGGCTAGGCTCGTGGCGGGTGATGTCGCCGGCATCGACGTGAACGCAGGTTGCCCGAAGCCGTTCAGCATTAGCGGTGGAATGGGCGCGGCTCTTCTAAAGACTCCGGACAAGCTTGTCGCAATCTTGGAGGCCCTGGTTGCGAACATTATGCCAGAATTCGAGATTGGCATCAGTGTCAAGATTCGCCTCTTGGACACACCCGAACAGACCGAAGCCCTTGTGCGCAAGCTTTGCGCCACGGGCATCACTGGCCTCACGATCCACTGCCGCACGACACCTATGCGTCCTAGAGAGCGTGCCATCCGCGAGCAGCTTCGTATGGTCGCGGAGGTATGCCACGAGGCGGGCGTTGCTTGCATCATGAACGGCGACGTCGAGAGCCGAGACCAAGCAGTCGACCTGATCAAGGAGTTTGGAGTCGATGGCGCGATGATTGCTACTGCAGCTGAGGCGAACTCGAGCTGCTTCAGGACGGAAGCAGACGGAGGCCTGGCGTCCTGGGAGGAAGTGGCGGCAACATACGTCAAGTACGCGCTCGAGGTCGACAACAAGTACGGCAACACGAAATACCTGCTCTGTCAGATTGTCCCGGGCAAGAGCGCGACATATCAAAAGATGAATCAGTGCAAGAGCTATACCCAAATCTGCCGCGCACTCGGGCTCGAGGATCTCATCGAGCTTGCTCAGCAGACTGATCTGAACAAAGGCGTCGACCCGGAAAAGGGGCCTGGCAAGGGTGGAAAGAAGCCCAATTCAACCGCCATGGCGGCCGGCGGCAAGATGGTCGAGAGCCGGGCTGCGCAGGCCCCTCGAAACAAGTCTCAAAGGGGTGTCGGCGCGCCCAAGGAAACACAGCCAACGCAGCCGGCTCCTGCTACCTTACAAACTTGAGATACATCACATAGCACTTCTCAACCGGGTTCATTTACATAGATAGGAGTTTGGGGCCATCGGTAAAAAAAGCATAGCGGCATCCTGGGTCCTTCATTGACAGGCCAGGTTAATGGAATTGAGGGATATAGAACCCAAATACGACTTTTATACACATAATATTGGATAATGCCCACTCACCATGATTTGCTTCGCTCTGAAGACAAGCATCGAGCTGATGAAATATGTCAATTACAAAGGAACCGATGGCAGCGATTCTGTTCGCTTCTATGGTACAGTTCCACGCTTCCTTTATTTGCCCTTCTTCACCCAGTCCTCGACGGTTTCCCGGGCATCCGTGACCTTCTCATCAACATATCGTACACCAATCTCACTGTGCAGCCTCGCCATCCTCCAGCTGTTCTCGATGCTCTCGCGAAGCTTGAGGTGACCCTGCGCAATAACGGGGAAACGCTGCTCGTACTTCCAGGTGAGGTTGGAGACGTTGCCCATGGTGATGGGCAGGACGGTCCAGCCGGCAGTGATACCAAAGGCCAGGGGCGCCGTGGCGCGCAGGATGATGCTGCGGTTGCGGGTGACGATGCTGCCGGCCATGGCGGCGACTAGGACGTAAATGGCGCCGGGCATCAGCTTCTCGCCGCTCTCGCGGGGCGGGGCGAGGGATGCGATCGTGCCCGTGAAGGACTGCTCGAGGTTGAAGGCCTTGTCCATCGTCCGGTTGACGGCATCCTCGGCACCTACGGCGTACTGGTACAGGGCGAGGCGCGCCTTGCCGATCTGGACGGCGAGACGGTCGGTAGGGGTAGGTCCTCGCGACTTGGGTTCTTCGGCCTGGGGAGGCTGCTCGGCCTTGGGGATCGGAGGAGGGAGAGTGCCACTCGTCGCGGGGAGCTCCAGGTCGTCGTAGATGGGCTTCTTGGACTGCATAATTGTCAGCTATGCTACTATCTAGGTGCTGCGAGTCGAATGCGGACGTACGTGGCTGCTCTCGGGAGCTTCAGCGTAGGCAGTTCGGGGTGCCAGGGCGAATCCTCCCAGCATAACCGTCGCTGCTAACGGCGCGGCGCGCTATGGATCTCATATTAGTCGTTACTTCGATTACTAGTTGATTGGCCAGAGAAAATTACCCGTTGTAGCAACACTCTAGCAGCCATGGTCCGCTCAATTGGTCGATTGAGGGAATTGGGTCTTGGTCTCGCGAGAATTATTTGGATGTCACGGAATGATGCTTGGGCTTGCAAGCACCTAACGCCAGGCCCACTGGACGCTGGTGCGGCTATTTCCGGAGCTCGGGAATTCGATTATGCACTGGCCTGAGATGACTGGCAGCACTGCACACCCTTGCACAAAAAATTACTCCCGCCGTCAGTCCGGATACCATCCCGGCTACGGCCTATCGATTGGTTTATCTCATTCCCATTAATTCTCCCTATCCAGAAGCATTCCCATGGTCACGGCCCTTGGTCGCATTTACAACCACCCTCCTTTTTTCTGGCTACATGTTTTACTAGAATTTTCGTCTCGACTCGTAGTTATGGTCGCGCCATCGACGGATTCTTCATAATGATCAAATCTTCAACCCGCGGCCTCTGGGTCTGCACCCAATGCGTTCGGCAAGCTTCCCGAGGCCAACAGCGCCGGTGGATAGCCGCAGTGTCCGGCGCCGCTCACTCGAGCATCACGGCCGACCACTCACTTCCGGGGAGGAATACCGACGATGCGATCCTGCGCGAACTCTTCGACTCCCCCGACCGAGTGTCCAAGGCCTTCAAGGCGGCCGGCCCCAGTGTTGGTCTCTTCAAGAATCGATATCTCACTAGCCCGAATGGCTTCTACGTATTTGCCCGCAAGAGCTTGGACAAGGCGCAGAAGATTGTCCACCGAGTCCTCCATGCGTCGAGTGTGTCCGAATACCAGGCCGTCGTCAAGGACCTTGACCGTCTTAGCGACCTTCTCTGCCGAGTACTCGATCTATCCGACTTTGTCAGAATGACACACCCAGACCCCAGATTCCAGCAAGCAGCAGCCGGAGCCTGGTCGCTGGTCTATCAGTATATGAACCAGCTGAACACCATGACCGGACTGAGTGACCAATTGGTCAAGGCTATGGAGCAGCCCGAAGTGGTCGCGGCATGGTCAGAGGAGGAGAGGACGGTCGCAGAGATTCTCAAGCTGGATTTCACCAAGTCGGCTGTCGACTTGCCGCAGCAGGAGCGGGATCGCTTCGTGGACCTCTCGCAGCAGATAAGTGAGGTTGGATCCATGTTCGTCTCAGACATGCAGCCTGCGAAGCGGGAGGTTGTGCTTCCCTCATCGAGCTTCTACGGCTTATACCCCGGGATCGCTCGAGCGCTCACAATGAGGGGCAAGTTGCGCCTCCCCACCACCGGCCCTGAAGCTCAGGCCGCGCTCCGCAGCGTCAAGGACGAGGGGACGCGGAAGGAGGTGTACACCGCCATGCGTACCGCTTCGAAGCAGACAGTCGGTCTGCTCGAGACGATGCTCAAGCTTCGTTCTGAGCTGGCGGACCTGGCGGGGTTCTCGAGCTACGCCCACCTTTCCCTGAAAGACAGAATGATGGCAAAGTCTCCCGGCGCTGTGATGCAGTTTCTTCACGCGCTGCAAAAGTACAATACCCCTATTGTTCGCGAGGAAATGTCGGACCTCCTGAAGTTGAAGCAGACCCGACTAGACAGCACTGCTACTCAAGTCCATCCGTGGGACAAGGATTTCCTAATGGACGGCGTGCGGTCCGAGATGAGTCTGCCAGTCCGTCATCCCGATCACCTCCCGTCCTTTTTCTCCATCGGCACCGTCATGCAGGGCATGTCGAGACTGTTCACTCGTCTCTACGGTATTCAGTTCAGACCAAAGGAGTCGCAGCCCGGCGAGACTTGGCACGAGGATGTGCGACGCCTGGATGTTGTGACGGATACGGGCGATCTCATTGCTGTCCTGTACTGCGACCTGTTCTACAGAGAGGACAAGTCGCCCAACCCTGCTCATTTCACAGTGCGCTGTTCCCGAGCCATCGCCCCGTACGAAGTCGAAGAGGCTGCGGAAGACATCCACAACGCCACCTCCGATATGCCCAAGTTTGAGAGACCTGAGCAAGCCGCAAACGACGGCATGGAGAGCTTGCAGCAGGATGGCGTCCTGATGCAGCTGCCCACCATTGCCTTGGTCTGCGATTTCCCCAAGCACGATGCGAAGAGCTCCGCCCCGGCGCTCCTGTCGTACTACCAGGTCGAGACCTTGTTCCACGAAATGGGCCACGCCATCCACTCCATCCTCGCTCGCACCAAGCTTCAGAACGTGTCCGGCACGAGATGTGCCACCGACTTTGCCGAGCTCCCATCCACGCTGATGGAGCACTTCGCCGCAGACCCATCCGTGCTAGGACTCTTCGCCCGTCACTGGAAGACGGACGAGCCCCTGCCGTACCAGATGGTCGCCGAGCGGATCCGCCTGGCGAAGCGCTTCGAGGGCATCGACACGGAGAATCAGATCCTCCTCTCCCTACTCGACCAGTCGTACCACAGCCCCGAGGTCGCCGACCCGTCCTTCAACTCCACGCATGTCTACCACGGCCTGCAGAAGCAGTTCTCCCAGGGCGGCGCCGACCCCGCCGGCACGTGCTGGCAGGGCTTCTTCGGCCACCTGCACGGCTACGGCAGCACCTACTACAGCTACGTCTTTGACCGCGTCCTCGCCGAGCGGGTCTGGCGCGTCGTCTTCTCCGCCGGCGCCGACGGCAAGGCGCTCAGCCGGGAGAACGGCGAGCGGCTCAAGGAGAACCTCTTAAAGTGGGGAGGCAGCCGGGACCCGTGGCAGTGTCTGGCGGATACCTTGCAGGACGACCGTCTTGCCAAGGGCGATGATAAGGCCATGGCTTTGGTGGGTAGCTGGGGCATCAAGGATGACCATGCGTGAGGGACGTATACCAGCCAGTGTATTATATATGTAAGAAGGTCCGCATCGTACGAGACTAGAGTTGTATAAGAGTAGACATGTATCAATGACTAGATCGCACTGATACGCTCATCTTGTATTAACGCCGTGATAACACTCATTCTGTTCCTAGAGGCTCGTACCTGACAGCCAGCTCTGCTTACGTGGAAAGATATAAACAGCGCCGACCGTCCCTGCCTTACCAAGCCTTCATCCGATGAATTTTCCCACCCCCGAATACACAGAGAATACACACGGGAAGAAGCCTATATACCCCCCCTCAAGTCCATTCTCGCCACCAGCAACAGCAGGCGCCCCTCTAGGTCGGGGGGTCAGGACAAACTGGCTGGGTGGTGGAGTGGTTCAAGGCCAACAATCAAATTACGCCCACAGCCTACTCGACGACAGGCTCACGAGTTCCCGAGTTCGAATCCCAGTATGAGCACCAAGAGATGTAGCCCCCAATTCAGCCCCGGGGGGGTGAACTCTTTTTGACTGTTGTTATATCTAGTAGATATCGGCATGGCTATTCGTCTAATATTCCCATGTATCCAATACCATTCTCACGACGCCCGCCCCCACCCCCCTTCATGAACCCGCATCATGAACAGAACCTATCACAGACACCTCTTCTGGCAAACATCAACAATACAAGCAGAACACTACAACACCCATCGATTAGCGGTGCGTGGTTTCCAGCAAATGAACTAAAACAAAAGTCAATAACAACGAGAGTAACTCACGTATTTATCACCATTCGCTTCCTTGTACCAGCAATATCCGGACCCCTTCGCTCTGCAGCAGTCGCACTCGACTCTTCTGGGCAGTAAACCACCGCCGACATTGTTAGGCGAGGAGGATTGGTCGAGAGAGCGGGCTTCTCGGACTTCTGCGGTGTCTAGGGCTGCCGCGGCGGCGGAGGAGAGGAGGAGGGGGAGGATGGTGAAGACGGAGAATTGCATGGTGGGCGATGTGGCACCGTCCAGTGAAGTTGTAAGTGAGTCTGCTGTGTGTAGTTACACGGGTAGGGGCAGGGTGAGAGGATTGGGTGATGCTTTGAACGAGTTGGTGTATGGAGCTGGAGTAAAGTAGTTTGATTTGCTGCGATCATGGCCCAATTTATACATGATAACCTCGATTGTTACGTGGTTGGTACAAGTAGGTACGGCAGGTGCCTCAAAAGGAGCAAAGTCCCGTAAACGATACTCTAGCCTTTGAGTTGGCTTTTGAGTTGAGCCTAGTCATATTACACGCCGTAACCTTCTGACTCTACAAATCATTGCAATGTCTACAATCTCATTTCTCTATGTCCTCGCCAAGAGTTCTGATACTTTATGGTTCTCGTAAAAACCCCCGTACAGCTAAACGGCCAATCGGCCGTGGTGAGAGTTTGGGGCACCAGTCGATCTTTCAAGACTGTGAATCGTCTCGTTATTCTGGATATTGGGTTATTTCTTTAGTACCCCCAAAAAGTCAAATATAGTTTAGTCAAAGCTAGAGACAACTTTGAGACTCAACCGCCCTACGCCAACAATAGACAGACCCCTTTACCATCATCCTCATTTGATTTTCCCCCTTTCGTACCTTTTCATACGATGATATTGGATCGTTGTAGAGTCTCAAGAGCTCCAGCAGTGGTTTATAAATAGGTCGCACATTTCACTGTGGACGGCGTCACCGAGGGGCTGCTGCTCATCTAACACGGGCCATTGGGCAATCTTCAGAAAAAAGCGTTGAAACCTTCCGGCCCATTTCCCCTGTACATCAGCTGTTCTTGAATGCCAATGTGTACCTCAACGTCCACTCCTGGTTTAGCTTAGTAGTTGGTTCTACTGAGAGCTACTCATAAACTAGAGCCCATGTATCAGAGTAGAAGTGTTACGTTATATCTACTGGAGAACCAACATACAATCGCATCCTCGCAATTGGCAAGTAAATGATCAACTTCAGAATCTTTATCATCGTTGTATGCAGGGAGATCATCTCTGTGCCCAGGCGTAGCAGAGAAAATAAACAGAGGGCTGGCTCTCCCACTGCTCCGCCACTAAACCTCCAGCGAGGCCTGAGAAAGGAATTCTGGATTTTTCCGCAGGCCAATGAGGTGACCTACAAGCTACCCAATACCTCCAAGTCAAAGAGCAGAAGCACATGTTGCGCACCTCACTCAACAAGGTGACGTCGGAAACCCCAAACCCCGCAGGTCCTTAAACTCCGGGGCCTCCTCCGAAGGCCAGCGACCAACAGCCCTCCGAAAAGCCGGTCGTGACGAGGGCTCCGGTCATCATCCCACCGGAGCCGACTCACCGCAGTGGAGTCACCCGGACCACGGACGTCGTCGGCATAGCAAACTAACCCAGCCGGACAGCTGCGCTGACCCCCGTCAGTCCATCCCCAGCATATCACCTCAAAAGTCCTCCACAACAAACGTCTACCTCCACGACCCCGAAGAAACGAAACAAACCAAATAGGGCAAAACCGCAAGACACCAACGGAAAACGAGGTCGTACAAGCAGGCATCTAAGCAGCGGGGGAAACCCCAAGCCGATGCCTACCAGCCAGCAGACGACATGCGGAACAAGGTAGGAAGACGTTCATGAAGCGAACTCCCTCTAGCGCACAATATCCAGGTACATTACAGCTTGGGCGTACGGCATGGCGTGGGAGGCCTAGATCCCCATCACATCAGACGATAACCTCACGCCAGCCCTATCGGAATCGAATCATGCTCACGTCCCGGAACTTCGCAGCACCCTCATTGATGACCAACGGCATGCCGCTGGGCGGTGACGGTCCCCATCCCTCCCGAGACCTGTGCCGTACAAGCTACCCACTCCTCCCTTCTAGCGCATGCAGGCTCCGAGCAGGGCAGCGGCAGACCGACCGGTTCCTTCGGAGGGAACAAGATCCCGGATGCTTACTGCTTAGGTTTGGGACTTGGTAAGGGACGAGAGAGAGCTGCCAGGGTGGGTACATGGGGAAATAGAAGATGACAGCTCGCATGAACCCTCCCAAACGTGGTGTCATGTTCTCACGATCATTGCCCTAGCTCACTGCATACGTGGGCTCAAGGAGCTAAATTTAACCGGGGGAGTTGACCCAAAGCAGGGGATCTGCAATGAAATATTCCATCTATTGACATGTGTCTGCCTCATGTGGTAAATCTCATCCCTGAAAAGCTCAGCTATGGTGGAAAAAAACAAAATTGAGATCCAAGTACCCCTGCTTTGCAACAGAGCGTACTTAGCGACTATCCCCTTTAGCTCCTGAAAATGCCGTGATAACAACCGTACCGCGCCGCCACACTCCCCAACACCTGCCGGATAAGTTGGAAGAGAGAAAGTGATGATTTCGTGTCTGCGTCTTTCCTTGCATGCCTGGTGTCTCTCAGGCTGTGGATTATGTGTTCGCGTTTGTCGTGTGAAGTGGGATTTGTATGATACAAATATGCCCGAGTAAAAATGTCCCTGAATCGGACTCAAAATTAAGGGAATCTGTCTAAACTGCCATGGGGGTTGCGGTAGGGGTAGGCGATGCGCCGCCAGGCAATTGGAGGAAGCCGCCGTAGTATTCGTCTAGCCAGCGGGCAGCCTCCTCGCCGGCGTCGTCCATGCTGGAATCCCATCGGCCAACGGAACCCACATAGCCGTCAGGTCGTACGTTGACAATGGAAACCTCACCGGGACCGAGGCTACCAAGCCACTTGTTTGTGCAAAGCTGGCCACGCGTGTCCTGTTCTGGAATGTCGTCCAGGTAGAAGGTCCAGCGGCTGTCCTGCAGCAGGGCAGGCAGGTCCGAGATCTCCACATCATCTTTGGGCATTGTAGCTGTGGCTAGTGTTAGTAATTAAACTGAATTTCTGGTGAACAAGACTCACTAATCAAGGCAAATGTGAAGAGATGGCTGACGGCCGTGTATCTTTCGGGCCGGTAGTAGATGTCTTCAGACGATGGCAGTCTGGGCTGCGCAGCGTAAGAAGCACTAGCCGAGGCTGAGAGCTTGCTGATGAAAGAGTTGGCCGAGGCGATGGATTGGCAGAAAGTCTCCAGGAAAGGGCTCGACGCCTGGATATCCCACATCAAAAGGTAAATGCGGAACTGTCCGAGCATCGGGATGTCGAGCTGAATATCCACAGGATTTGAGTCGATGTATCTAGTGACCTTGGCCGGGGGAAGCAAGCAGCCAGGTCTGGCATCCCCCATAATGAGGCCTTGAGAGTCGGGCCTGTTCAGGGGGCTCTCAGAGTACTCAGCGCCGATGCCAGAAATGAAACGGACATTCGTCTTGAAGTTTTCTGACAGTGCTACCGCGTCACCTCCCGCAATCTGATTGGCGTGCTCGTAGTCGAAGTTGACCAGGTCAACAGCGATCTTTCTCCGCTCTTCTTCGTAACTCTCGAGCAGGCATTGCTTCGCGAGTCCTCGAATGCTCAGGTTGAGCTTCCACGCAATGTTCCACGAGTCATGCATAGAGGTGTTCATGCCCTGAGCAGACTTAGGGGAGTGCGTGTGACTGGCATCACCAGCGAGGAACGCCCTCAGATGGGGGTCGGTGAACCGACTGGCCACTCTCTGACCAATCTGGTAACGTCCGAACCACTCAATATACTTCCAGTCGACCTCGAAAGGCGCCATGATCTTCTTCGCTCGAGCCATGACGAATTCCTGGCCAAGCTCTCGCTTGTCGGCCTTGGGGTTCGCCTTCAGCTCAATGTAGAAACGGGTCATATTCCTCTCTCTCGGGATAATTAGAATAGAGCCGTATTCCTGAGAGTATACTAGCGTCTTGGACCAAATGTCTGGGAAATCGGTGATAAGTTCGCCATCGAGAACACCCCAGATTGCTGGTTGCGAAAGGCCAATAGCCCGTGCATCAGGAATGCTCTTTCGTACTTTGGAGTGGGCACCGTCACCTTTTTCGGGTCAGTATATGTCTTTCCCAGCGCAGCGGTTTTGTAGTAGTTCACTCACATCCAACCAAGTACTGTGTCAGGATTGTCCGCCGGTCTTGGGTTACGTTTGTGCGACAGTTAACCTGTAGGGGCCCCGCCTTGTTTTCCGGAACGCTGTAGGACTCGAATGCGGTATTCCTCCGTACCTCGACCCCGCGCTTCTTCAAGTCGTCGATGAAGAGGCCTTCAACCATACCCTGGTGAACGAGCAAAATGTAGGGATCGAGGACGTCGATGACGGGAGGGTAGTGTACCTCGCGGCCCAGTCTGTGCAGCGGCTCGTCGGCAGTGCTTCGCCAGAAGGAAATATCGTAGACACGAACACCGCGGAGGAGCAGAGGGTCGGCGAGGCGCATTTGACGGAAAGTCTCGATCGTCTTGGGCTGCAGTCCGTCTGCTCTATTTCGGGTATTAGCTTACAGAGGCATGGTAGGTATGTGTGTATGGATTGTCTACCTTCCAACAGGCGTCTGGTCAGCTCTGTCGTCAATAAGCTCGACCTTAATTCCAAAGCGCCCGAGATTGGCAGCCAGCATCAAACCAGCGGGGCCAGCACCAACCACGCACACCTGGGCCTCTATAGGAGGCTCAGGCAAGCTGCGCAGGAGGGTGAGTGTGTCTACAGTGGGATCGATAGCATGGAGACGGCCAGCGGCGGTGCCGGCCAGCCCGTTCGTCGGGGCAGTCTGTCCGTTTTGGTCCTCCATTGAGCCGTCCGAGTTAAGTACACCAGGTGCCATAGTCGAGAGGCGTGTTGCGATGTCACAGTCTCACAGGACTACCGAATCGAGGTAATTGGTCGTCGGTATGTGATACTGGGTGGTTTGCAAAGTAAGTGACTAGCTAGCTAGCTATGGCAGAGGACCAATCGCCAACGAGGTCGAACGAAGACTATTGGAGAGGTAGGTGTAGGTGTTCAGGCTGGCTTGCCGCGCTCGCACGGCTTGCGGTTGAAGACTTTCGAACGTGGGGTCAAGGATGTAATGCGCGGGCTTGAGATACACCACACTGGCGCTCAAAGGCACAGACTGAAGCAGGCGTGGAGCTCGAAGCGAAGCGATGAGGGAAACGGGATATTTTCGTACGGGCTCCAGCCGTCAAGAGGTTTAGTGTGGTGTCTCTTCGTCCGAGGGGTCTTTGTCTTGTGTGCGACGTAAGGGAAAATTGTTGGGTCCCAGGAGGTGGTATTCGAGATATAATAATAATATGAGATACGGCAGGGTCGCTCAATATGCAGCCAGACCAGGGCGGATTAGAGACCAAGGACCAGAATAGTGGGTGTGTGGTGAGGTGGGTTTGCAAGTTGCAGCGAACTAGCAGCAAGACCAATGACGGATGTTGCTGGACCAGGGCTGCAGCAGCAGACGGGACAAGCACACACGGGGAACGGGGTGAGAGAGCGCAGAGAGGGCAGACAAGACGGTGAGAAAATCAGAGAAGGGAAAGAAGGGAAGAGAGGAAAAAACAACCGACGAGTCCCTACAAGACCGAGAGAGTGGGAAGAGAAAAAAAAAAAAAGAGGGGAGGGGCCTGCAGACTGATAGCTGGGTGGTTCGACAGAATTGGAGATTGCTTCGCGGATGCTTCAAACGATTTCAGAAAGTGGCATGATGAGCTTTTGGAGAGCGGCAGGAATCGAGTGAGAATCAGACCACCACGGATTATTTACCCATGCCTGCCATACTTTCAGCCTCTTCCCATTGGCCGACCCCCCTCCGGAAGGGACAGCAGGGTCCAGCTGGTTGGGCGCTAGTCCCGTTTCGGTGTGCTCCAGAACGTGGCAGGTGCGTTCAGTGCTCCTTCCTCTACCTACGAATACCACTACCTACTATGTAGGCCTGGCGTGCCTGGTTCACACCTTCCAGAATCCACGGGTTCGACCTCTGAAGGCTGACGGATGACTGCGTTCACGCCATGGCGGGGGCAAGCCGCGACCGTTTATGAGGCCACTTTTTGACTTTAGCCTCGTTTCCAGCAACACCTGCCCGGCGTTTTTAGCATCACCACTTCATAGGTACGCAGTAGTTCACTTCCACTTCACCTCTCTTCCCACCTCAAGCTCCCACCCAACCCAACTCAGACCCTCTCCTTCTACACTATGACTACTGCCATGCAAGATATGGATATGGATACGTCGCTGCTCACAAATCATTCAACCTCATCCGGCCTAAGGAGTACCGTCCCATATCTTTCGATGGAGTCTTCAGTCGGATTCCAGTCTCGACCCCTCCGCTGAGGTCCGCCTATGCACACCTTGGCAGCTTGTCCTCTCGGCGCCCAAGTGGGTTCTCTCGATAGAGTTGCAACCTTTGGATACCTTAAGCTGCGCTGTATAGAGTACATACATGAACGACACCATCACGAGCCAATTACTCCAGACTTTGCAGACGTCGACATCTGTCGCCCTGACTCTCATATCTACCCATCCTAAGGTATTATCACTGCACCACCAGCAGACTGCGGAAACATTCCAATGTCAACGTTGGACCATCCTCGTCCGGGATTAGCTCCGCCAGCGGGTACCAAGCACGGAGGTTGGAAACGTGGAAACCCCCGATGCCGGGCATGGCATTATCTTCTACTCCCGTCGGCCCCTTCCCCATGTTACGCCAATGCTCATCTCTGACATGGCGAGGTGCGAACGGATACATCATACACACAGCCCAGCGTAGCAGCGCACCCAGCATCCGACATGTCACTGTCACTGTCCCTGACGGAGCCCTATTCGTTTCTTTTTTCAACTTCTGACACCGGCTTTCTGCAACTTCCAGAGACCCCCTACTTTCCATGTTCCTTCCAACAAGTTCTAAGCAGAACCCTGGGGCCCAGTTCCCTCCCACACCACTGCAGTAGTCTTCACAACACCATGGCAGAATCCTACGAGACTTCATGTCTACGATGACTTTCCTTTGCATAACATGCGCGGCACAGCTACGTTCTCGTATGGCAATGGCATGGTATGGCGTGGCTCCGGCCTATACCATCTGCTCTTTCAACTGCCGTATCCAACGTGCCTCATCCTCATAGCTTTTTCTCGCCCAACTATCGACCAACCCGGCCGGCCTTGACACAACACCACGCGGCTGCTCTCCAGATTTTCCGATCTGACCCCACTCGCCAATGCCATGAACAGCAGACCCCGAGGGTACCGCCAACTTGGTCGTCCCCAGGTTTCTTTCTGGAAAGTCTTAGTCACTAGCACCGTCTTTGGTTCCTCGGGACTAAGACGGCACGTTGAGGGCTTTTTGACTAGACTGGCTAGTTCCATTGCCTCTTTACCCTGCTTGACCTGGCTCTCCTCCTTCTGATCGGCGAGGCCCCGCGCAAAAGGCCTGCCTGCAGACCGGAGCCGACCGTCGATTGCTTGACCCCTAGTCACGGATTGAATGCGTCTGCTTCCAAAATATCCGGATCAAACATGAGAGACAGCTCGCCTATCGGTGCAGCTATCCCAACGCTATGGCTCGATTGATAACAACGTCCCCTACGTCTCAATGTGAACATTCTGGTTGGCTGTGAGAACGGCAAGTTTTGCCGTCTCATCATGCGGTTTGCGCGTGGACAATCGGCAAAAGGCACCAGGGAGTCTTCCCCTGCGTCACAGCTCCCACTCTCCCCGCGGCAAGTGACTTCTGGGGAATGCGAGTATCAAACACAAGCATATCGTGCGACTTGGCACATGTGTTCGAGCTAGACAAGTGCTCTTCGCTCGAGCTACGGCAAATGAAGAAGCCTTCGTTCTACTCTTGAGATGCGTAGTAGAAAGGTGCCCCTAAATGATCATACCATATGATGATGCTGGTCATACGGTATTGCTTCGGAGTGATAGTATCTTTCTTCACAGTGCTCGGACATCACCTAACCTCTTCCCTATTTGTGATAACTTTCACATGGTATTCTCTCTGATACTGCTGAGGAATGCCGTTGCACGCATTCTTGCAATATCCTGGCAACATATGCTCAGTAGCCTCAGTCTCGCGTTCGCTTGGTATATTGTCCTTCTTCCTTCCATGTGACTTCCTTGAGGACGATATACGTCCTTAAAGGCAGAAGTTGGTGATATGGAATGACACAGTCTGAGCAGAAGCCTTGGGATAAGATGCTGGATAGTTTCAGAGTTCAAAACTGCCGCGACGGGCGTAATGATGCCAATTCGTGTTGATCTTGGTACACTCTAACATCGCCCAACACTTGTTCATCCATCGCTTTGAGCTGCGGTGCGGTCTCTCCAATGAATTATAATTATAGAATTACAGACGCAGTGATCAGAGTCACCTAAACATCATACACGCGGACAAGCTTGCGTTTTCAGAAAGTCAAACCGAACTTCCTTTTCCCCTCCCAAAACAAGATCGAAGCTGGTGCTCCAGCCGCTCGTCGCAAGCTGCACCTGGGCTTGGAAGAGCGCATACCCGCTATCCTCCTCGCCCGTCGCCGCGAGGTCGACGCTCTCGACGTCGAGCCTCCTGTGGATCGCCTCGGAACGCCGCACGAGACGCACAACGTCCATCGTCACGGCATCTCCCGCGCGCTCCTTCAACACCGCGGCCGTGACGGTGAATGTGCGCTCGTTGTTCACGCTCGTCCGGTTGACGCAAGAGGAGGCTGCCTGGTAGAGCAGCGCGTCGTCTAGCGGGAACCCGCTGCCGTCGTTCTTGTACACGGATGTGGCGTTGCTCGAGGGCGTCGTCAGGTGGACAAGGAAGCTGCTTATACCGCTCGCTGCGCTGATGGCCGTCTCGAACTGGTACCAGGCGAACGTCTCGCCCCAGAGCCCATGCGTGACGCCGCCTTCGTCGAGCGTCGCGGGGACAACAACGGAACCCTCGCCCCCTCGATCTGCGAAGCTCAGATGGACGGCCAAATCGCCAGTGTCCCGCCCCGTCCCTTCCGTCGTCCTCACGCGCACCCAGCCGCTCAACGCAAGGCTCCCGTTGCCGCTCAGCGCCAGCGTGACGTAGGGCTTGATATCGACGGGCTCCACGGGCTCCGTCAACTGCACCGTCGCGGGCACGGTATCAATCATGCGCGTAAAGACGTCGGCGCACGCCGTCCTGAACCCGTTCTTGGTACAACCCAGGTCCCTGATCGTCTTGTTCCCGTCCGACGAGAAGATGTGCTTGTCCGAGTTGAGCGTCTCGTTGCGCCCGACGACCAACGGGTTCGACGTGTTGCCCCGCACGTACTCGGTCGCGATCCGGTTATCAAAGTCGTCAAACGTGCTATCAAACTTGGTCACCGTGTCCGGGCTCGGGTCGAGGCCCGTGATGTGCGGGTTATTCCGGCTGTGCACGCCGCCGAGGGTATGCCCGCACGCCACGAGCGAAATCATCTCGCTCTGGCTGAAACCGGCTTTCGCAAACGTCGCCAGCGTCGTGTCGAGCGGCGTCTGCGGCTCCGGTACGCCCGCGGGCCCGGCGGCGCTGGCGTCGACGCGCCCCGCGCGGAAGGGCATCTTTGCGCCACCGCAGCCCGCGTTGGCGACGACGACGCTCATGGCGAGCAGGTCGGCGGCGGAGGCGCGGATCGAGTAGAGGTTGCTGAAGAAGTTGAAGGTGTTGTTGAAGGCCGCGCCGCCGTTCTCGGCGCGGCCGACCTCGAACCAGATGGAGCCGTCTAGGCCGCCTGTCCCCGCGGCGGCGTCGGTGGTGGCTACGTCGTGGAAGGCGGTGCGGATCCACTCGGCGGCGAACTGGCGGCCGGCGATGTTGCCGCCAAAGGAGCAAGGGGTCACGCCTGGAAGTCATCCGTGTGTGTTAACTAGATGGAACGCTGAGGGAAGGGGAGCGAAGGAGGGGGCGGACGAGAGATGCGGGACTGGGGGCGTAGATCACGAACCTTCGACGAAACCCCTGCTGCGGTATCCCGTCTGTAATGAGAGGATATCCTCAATCTCGTCGTACTTGGAAGGCCAGGCATATGCGGCTCCCACGCTGTGCGACAGCGCGGCGATGCCGCTGATGACGGCGACGACAAGTCCGTCCCTTCTCATTGTCAGAGCTGGTCTCAAATTATACCTCCAACGAGCGTCTGATCAAATGAAGGGGAAAATAAATCAAAACGAGAGAGAACGCTGGCAGACATCCCAGGAAATAAACCCACGTCACACGCGCGAAGATTTGGTGCTGGGCATTCCTTTATAAATCCCCATCATCGCATTGGACCCGACCCTTTTTGGCACTTCATTTTGCCCCGGGGGGTTTTTATTGACTCCATTACGTGGAAGAGGGTCAATTGGTCTTTTTGTTTTTCTCCCACTCGAGGAACTTTTTTCCAAAGAGAGCGAGAGCTCCAGTATCGCCAAGACGTCAAAGGAAAACGGATCTGGCTTGCATCGGGTCCCTGGCCCGATGGAGCATCTCTGCCCGAAACTCGTGGGTTTTTGTTGGCGGCAACAAAACCTATGCAGTGTGAAGATGCTGCTGCTTCATAGCTGCAGGTTCGAGAAAAAAAACCCTCGCAGCTGAAAAGGTGTGGATAAACGTCAAATAACTATAAACTAGTTCTCTAGACTCGGCCGAGTCGGTCCTAGTTCACATCATTCATGGAATGGAGGCAATTCTGCCCCAGACCAAGAGGAAGGGAATTCCCTTGCAAATCAGGAAACCCGAGCGGGATGCGAGCGTGGGAGGCTAACGTACTTCGTAGACCCGCGCGGAATGGCCGACAAAGCTGGATTATCAGATGTAAAAAAAAGTTATCTGATCGACCAGGGGGGGTGGTCTGTAATATTAAAGTCCCCGCTGCCGTTGTGGGGGGAGAAGGGGACTCGGCGGCGGCTCGAGGGATTTCAGGAACCAACATAAACGTGTGATCCGGCTTAGCTTCTTGGTTTAAAATCTGTTTGGACAATATTCATCTCTCCTTCTTCCTTCGTTGACGGGAAAGTGGTTGGTGTTAAAGGTAGGAGTTCTATTCTCCTCATCGGCATGATGATGTGAATCTTGCGTTCGAGGAAGAATGATTCCCGTCTCAAGTCAGATGTCTTCTACCGGATTATCTGTTGTCATTCATGATACGACGCAACTTTGCCATATCACCCACGCAAGACTACAACAACTCTCATCATTATATCCCGCTCGTCACAGGCCCCCTGGTCCAGAGAAGGTAGTGTAACAGAATTTCAATACATGTACTAAAGCACCCATCTCTACCTCCTCTTGTCAATCAGCTTCCCCTCAAACCAAGCCGCAAACTTGACAGCATTGGCATCCAAATACCTCTGCGCAAAGTCAGCCACGCACACCACGCCAGGCATAAAGAAACACGTCGCCAACAGCACCCCAAACGTAAACTGCCCGCTCGTCTCCGCCCCCGTCAGCCCCGTGAAGAAGCGCACGAGGTGCCACCCGTACAGCCACAGCAGCGACCCGTGGACGAGGTACAGCGCGTACGAGATGCGGCCAAAGTACTGAATCACCCGGTTCGTGAAGAGCGGCTGCAGGAACGGCGACCGGTCCACCGACAAGACGAGCCAGGCGGACGCGAGCGGGATCCAGAGGTACTCGCCCTCGCCGTAGCGCTCCGGCGTGATGGCGGCGAGCGTCTTGTACCCCGGCGAGAGGCCCGCCGTGCCGGTGCCCTTTGGGTACGAGAGGAGCCAGAGCGCGCCGAGGAAGGAGAGGGTGCCGAGCATCTTTTTGGTTACGCTGTAGGTTGGTGACGATGTGAGGGAGAAGCTCAGCCGGGCGAAGCGGCCATGCGGTCCCGGGGTTGCTGCTGCTGCCACGTACGGCAGGGTGTTATTGGCTATGGCAGGCTGCCAGTAGAAGTGCAGGTTGGCGCAGAGGAGCCCTGCGAGGAAGAGGAAGTACTGCCAGTAGTTGAAGTAGAGGGTGTACGCCACGAGGAAGAGGTTCATGCCGAGCCTAACCCGGGTGCGTAACCTCGAAAAGGCGACGTGAGCGAGGAAGATGACCAGAGAACAGTCAAACTCGATCGGGATCGTCCAGAGCGTAGGCTCGTACGGGTACCCCTCTCCCCTCCGCAAGTTCCTCCCGAACGGATCCGACAGCCCGATGAGGTTCATCGCCCAGTCCCACAGCTGGTCGTAAGCACGATCGAACCGCGGCGGCCGCAGCGCCGGCACGGCCACGCCCGACGTCGGGATCTCGAACCATCCGAAATACGAAATCCACGCAATCACAAACGTCGTCATCGCGGGCGGCAGAAACAGGCGAATGTGCCGCCGAAAGGCCGACGAGGCGGCCGCGGTCGCGAACTCGGCCGTCTTGTGCTGGCCGAGGAGCTTCAGGGGCTTGTAGCTCAGCGCGAACCCCGAGATGACGAAGAAGACGCAGACGGACCAGAAGCCGGAGATGACGAGGCGGATGATGGGCAGCTGGATGAACATGGGGTCGTCGTCGCTCATGAAGCCGCGGTGGATGTTCATGTTGGCTGTGACGAGGGACCAGTGGTGGCAGACGACGAAGAAGGCGGCTACACCACGGAGACCATCTGCGGTTGGGGCGGGTTTCTTGTTAGCTCTTGTCCTTTGAGACTGGAAGGCGAATTGAAGCAGAACTTACCGAGCCATGCTGTAGGATGAAGCGGCTTCTGGACGGCATTCGGATCCGAGGCCTTGAGGAAGCTTGGAATCAAGGCACGGAAGATGTTTCTGGGGTACCGGAGCCACACAGGCAGCTGCCGTGCTCGAGGATGTGTCCGAGGAACAACGACACCAAAGTCGTCGTCGTGATCCACCAGCGGGATCTCCTCCTCTGCTTCATAGGCCTCCTTGCCCGGGGTGTCGAGGTCCAATGGGCCAATCCCCTCGCCGTCGTATGAGTTTGGCAAGTGCCTCAAGTGACACTCGGCCTGCGATGCCATGGCGTCAGTCCCAATATTTCCAGGCATGGCTTATGTCGTCCTCAGTCCTGCCAAGAATGTGAAGCCTCCGCGGGATTGTTCTCCTCTTGGATCGACAGGAGAAGAGAGAGAGAAAGGGGAGCGGAAAACCGATAGCAGCATGCCGCACAAGCATGAGCGGACCGGCACCACGTATTAAACCATACCGAAAGGCCGGTGATTCATCGTGCCGCCATCTCTTCCCCGTTCCCAAGCCCTCAACGTTGTTTTCTGAATATCGATCTGAAAACGATCAGCCGGGCAAGGCTAGCGGGTTCCGCCAAGATCGTCGCCGTCTAGGGCGAATCCGACGTCAATGAGGTCGTTCGTGAGGACGCATTACGGATAGGATCGAAAGCCACGGCGTGGGAAGTGAGACAATTCGGCCAAGAAACTCGCTCCTCGTGCCGGGAATTATGTGCAGACGTCTCGGATATTGGCTTGGCTTTGGTGTCACCCGAGAGGCGGCGTAAGCTCCGTTTGCATCTATTCCAATGTATTTCGTCAACATAGAATGGCGCGGCTGACGACTACTTACTTGTGCATGAGAAGAAGACATACATCAGCGTATCTCCTTCGTGCAAGGTTGACTTATTCCATCGTGCGCGGCTCGGACCTCGACGAACACAAGCATTCCACGTCCACTTGCTCCCCGTCGCATTCATTGCCTCATGTTACACAAAACCAACTCTTTGTGATGGTAATTGGTAAAAGGCATTCATGTCAATGGTTTAAAAATGCAAAAATGATAACTGTGAGATTCGAACTCACGCCTCTTGCGAGACCAGAATACTCATCCGTTGAACGAATGAAGCTTAGTAAGCTTGAGTCTGGCGCCTTAGACCGCTCGGCCAAGTTACCTTGTTGAACTTTGCGGTCAATTAATGCTAGATCAAGGGCGCGCAACATTACACCCCGCTTTCGCCAATGCTGCCCGCCTCGATGTCAACTCCAAACACACCAGACTTACAAAGATAACACATAATCAGCGTGGATTTCACCAAGATATCACGATGCTATTTTGTTTGTCAGTTCGCCCTGAGTCGCACGCTAGAAGCCAGTTGACGAATGACGCATTCGAATTTATGAAAAGGGTGTTTGCGATTCATTCTGACCGTCCGTCTGGTCCTCATATCACGTCTGCTTCCCTCCATGTCAGGAGATGCCACCGCGGCGAATTGTCTCTCCACTCGGTTGTACTTACGACATTTTCTGAACTTGACGCGCGCTCTGGGGAGGGGATTGCGCCTGTGCGTAATTGCTCTTCGGTAGTGTATTCCATATGAGCGAATCAAGAGACCGATTAAGTAGACTGCCACCCAATCGTATATCTCATCCTTGCGCAACGCCTCCGATGGCCCATTCCTTCCATAAGCTCGATCTCAATTCTGAGACTTCATTGGTCATGTCCCCGGCTGTAGAGTGAATAGCCAACTCATTGAGGAATGGAGATAGGGGCCTCGGTACTTCAAAGGCCAACCCCCCGGAAGAGCGCCGAATGGACTGGCATGAAGAGATAGTCACAGAAGCAGTAATATACTCCAATTTCCTTGCCAATTGAACCTTTTGTCTATTTTCTTCATAGAAAGCCACCCATTGTTTTTACTTCCAAAGCCCAAGAGCGAGAACTTTCTCTCCATCAACCCCCCAAATCGACCTGGCTTTAACAAACGCCGTTGCCTGCCCTTTCTCTCCTCCAGAAGATCCGGCCGGAGCCGCAGCAGAAACCGCACACTTTGGCACATTGAGATACACCAAATACGGTTGATCTCCTCCTTCACCAGCATCTCCAACAGACTCCCGATACGCCCTCCTCATCCACTCTTCCACCTCATCAAAGGACTTCGGCGCACGTGTAGCAGGGCCATTGACAGCAAGCCACGCGACTGTAGAATGCACCAACGTCCCCGACACGATAACGTGGCAAACACGTCTGTAGAAAGGAACATCAGCCGAAGGCGCCTGGTCCGCTGACCGGTACTCGACAGACGACGAGGGCGCCTTTGCAAGGCCGAGGTGGGCGTGCCACTCGACGCCGGCCTGGCGAGGCAGCTCCTCGACCTCGACGGAGAAAAAAGGCGGAACGGAATCCTCGGCCTCTCCGTCGTCTCCGTCGGTCGTCACAACGGCCGACCAATCCGGTAG